GAGAGCATTTGGGACTGGCCGCAACTATCAATTTCTGAGCTAGAACAAGCCTGTTCTAGTAAAGTTAAAAGTAGTACACCAGGGCCTGACGCCATTACTCAAGATATTATAACCGCTACGTTTAAGTTCAACCCAGAGATCCTCTTCATCGCCTACTCAATCTTGTTTAATTACGGATACCACCCTCGGTGCTGGAAAGCAGCTACAGGAGCAATTCTCAAAAAACCATCCAAACTAGACTACTCTCTCCCGAAAGCTTATAGAGTAATTACTCTCTTAAACAGCCTAGGGAAGGTACTAGAGAGAATTATCGCCAAAAGACTAGCTAGTCTAGCAGAAACCACAAACCTCCTACACTCCTCACAAATTGGAGGTAGAAACAAGAAATCTGCAATAGACGCCGCTCTCCTCCTAGTAGACCAGATTCAACACAAAAAACAGCAAGGCCAAATTACTTCCACAGTGTTCGTGGACGTCAAAGGAGCTTTTGACCACGTCATACACAACCGATTTCTAGACCGACTTAAGAAACTTGGACTCCCAATTAGCTTAATTTGCTGGGCGAAATCCTTTCTCTCCAACAGGACCCTAAGACTGGCATTCGATAATAAGATTGAAGAATTTAGCAAGATTAGAGCAGGCATCCCACAAGGCAGCCCAGTATCACCAATCTTCTTCCTTATCTATATCCGAGACCTATTCCCAGCCTTACAAAGCTTTCAACTATCGTATATCGACGACCTATCTCTTACTACCTCATCAACCTCTCTAAAGAAAAACATAAGAGCACTGCAAAAAGAGATAGCTACACTCTTTGCCAAGGGAGAGCAGCTAGACATTATCTTCGACACATCCAAAACAGAGCTAATCCACTTCACCGCTAAGAAGGAGAGGATAGAAAGAGCCCTCATACTCCCAAACAACGACCGGATAGAACACAAAGACACTGTCAAGTGGCTAGGTATCTATCTAGACAACCGACTATCATTCAAATCACATGTGTCTATACGTGTAAGCCAAGCCAGACAAGCTTTCTACAGGCTAGGAAGACTAGGGAACATTGAACTCGGCCTATCAACACACGCTATTAGACAACTATACTTAGCATGTGTAACTAGCGTGTCAGACTACGGAGCACAAATATACTGGCAAAACCAACCCTACGCTACAAAGAAACTACAGTCACTACACAACCTGGCTTGTCGAAAAACTCTAGGAGTGTTTAGAACAGCACCAACAGTCCCTACAAGCCTCGAAGCGAGCCTACTACCACCAGCAATTAGGCTTAACTCAACTATCCGGAACTACGCAAGCAGAGCAAACCTGCTAGCCAACACCCATCCAATTGCAAAGGCAATAACTCGGATCCAATCAACTAATCTCCAACGCTCAAAGAAACCAAACCAGCACAGACAGCTACAAACTATTACTAACGCAATTCCTAAAAACAACAAAAGAGACACAGAGCAGACTATCCCATACCGGTTTAGGCCATGGGATACTCTAAACTATACCGTAACAGTCTCTCAAAAATCCAAAGAAGAGGAGGCAAATGCGCACCAAGCCTACATTAAAACAAGGCTAGACAATTACACGACAATATACTCAGACGCCTCGCAAACACAAGAAGGAAAAGGAATAGGAGTTGGGATAGCAGTCTACAACTCAACTCAGCAAGAGATCTACTCAGAAACAGTTAATATCGGACAATACCAGCTAGTCTACAACGGCGAACTAGAAGGGATCACACGAGCATTCGAATACGCAGCAAAGAACGCTACAACCGACCAGGAATTTGAGGTCTACGCAGATAACCAAGCAGCAATCTACAGGCTTAAAAACCTATCAGATAACCCAGGACAGCATTGGCAACTCCGATGTCTAAAAGCGGCAAATACGATCCGACGAAAACAAGCAAACATCCACCTACTCTGGGCACCTGGACACACAGATATAGTTGGAAACGAAAGAGCAGACTACCTAGCAAAAGAAGCAACCAAAGAGGACCCCAGATCAACAACAAAGAGCATTGCCTACCTGGGCACGACAATCAAAAGGATACAACAAACGGAACAACGCCAAGAGTATGAGAAATACAAAGCAAGAGCAACCGCTCTAAACAAAGCTACCTACTCAGCCAAATACCCTCTTAAAATCAGCAAAACCATCCAAATGCCACAGAACACGAAAAGAGTAACCTCTAGCGCCTTCTACTCTCTTAAGCTAGGACACGGATACTTCAACTCCTATCTAAAGAGATTTAAGAAACGAGACTCGAATCGCTGCACCTGCCAAAACATCCAAACGCCAGAACACCTACTACTGTACTGTCATCTATACAAAGACCATCGAAAAACGCTCCTACAAACAATCAAACATCGCCCAGTCACACTACCACTACTACTCCACACTAGTATAGGTATAGAAGCAACCCTAGCTTTTATCACTAGCACCAGAATAGGAACAAGAAAATGGTACCTAGGACAGCCACCAGAAGACCTACAGAGAGACACTGTATAAAACTAAAACCACAACCCTCTCCTTTGCCACAAGAGCCCGCTGATACATCTCTTTCTACTTATCAAACTGCTCTTTAGCACCTGGCAACAAACAGATACAAGCTATCTTTTGTAGAAAAGCCAAAAACCATATTAGCGAACCATACCAGAAAACCATGTAAATTAGAAAAACCAAGATAGAACGGCCTTCGGCCAAAGTCCTACATAGTCTCTGACTGAAAAAGGACTCTAATGGAATAATAATAATAATAATAATACGGGATAGTTTAGGTGTTAAAGGAGAGACTTTAGAGTCTCTATTCAGCGACGAGGCAATTAACGTTATGTATAACTTAGGGAATTAGTACGACAGCGAGGCCTAATTTGTATGTAAAAAAGTGATCAGTTTAAATAAGTTACCTAATTAGTTCAGTTCGGGCTTTGCTGAGAGACAATTCAATCAGTTTGCTGAGATTTTTCGGCCTGCTTTCTGCAGTTCAATTCAAGCCAGGGGTTGCAAACTGACTGAACGGATTGTTGACATGTCTGGGTAGAACAAAGAGGGTGTTCTTTAAACAGACTTAGGTGAAGAAAGGAGTTAGAGCACCTATCTAAGATGGCAACAGGGAGTGGATAACGGTGCTGGTGTCAGGCCTACGCAATGCGAGGTGTACAATATATACTATTCTACCACGATGATCAGGAGTTCACTGATCATACGTACCTTTTTGATTGCATAGCGTAGTGGGTGTAGACCTGCGTTCTGACAGCTGTGAAAGGGGCCGGCCCTGAGGGCAATTGCCAGAAAGAATCAGATGAATTCGTTAACCTAAGATCTATGGAGGTGTCAGATGGAAGGGGTATCCTACTTCGGCTCTAGGCAAGGGGTAAAAACCCTTCCGAGGGGCTCAATGCCCCTAGGTAAGGGATGAGACCCCCTTTGTAAAGCCCAAATCCTACGTTGGCCTAACTCGAATCTAACGACATATATACCCCCGTAGCCCTCAACTTCGTGAGAGGGCAGCGGACAGAGAACAAACAATAATCATCAGTTTACCACAAAATCTCATCTCATTTGACACCTCCCTATTCAACTTATACGCTTTAACCCCTTAATATAGTGATGTTTAAGCCTCTCTCATCATCTTACTTAGCTGAACTAGCTTATTATTAATAACACGCTCTTAGGCACTTAGCTATTAAGAAAGAAGACTTCTTCCTTGTCGGATCGTGAGTATCGGTAGAGACGTCGGCTGCTTGACACTTCGGCCCGACTTAGGCCCACCTTGCGCAGAGCGTAGGTGTACCTTCGTAGCAGCTATGTTCGTAGAATACCAATACCAGTCACCAGAAGAACTTCGTTGTTGTTATTCACCCCGTACGATCGTACAAGGCCTACCAACATTCCTATTGTTTTAGGGTGCCTAGATCACCTCCTTTAAGAAAGAGACTATTATTAAGAGCTTTAAAGCTACTAACATCTAGCCTATGAACGCCAACGTTACATTAAAGAGGTTCTCTAATACTCTAACACAGTTAGTTAGGGGCGAGAGCTCTTTATCATGCCCCTCTCTAAGTGATTAGATTTATATAGAACAGCTTATGCGCTTAGCTGTTGAAGATAGCAACAGTGACAAAGCAAAGCAGCTCTCTACTTCCCTTCACTATCTTTAAGTCTAAAATGAGCTCCTTCACTATGAAAATAAGGGTCTTAAAGCTGCTCTTAAGACCAAGAAGAAGAGGAAGAAGCACAGTAAAGCTCTCCTACTAAGGCAGTTAGGAGAGTATTATGGTGGCGCTGTTTTGTACTCTCTAAGGACAGTTCAGAGAGCACGTGATCGAGCAGCAGTAATACAGCGAAAGGAGGAGGAGGAGCACCTTCAAAAGCTTCAGCGTAAGAAGTAGAGAGATAATACTAAGCATCTTAAACAGTTACAGATAGAGGAGAAGCGTGAGGAGCGAGAGAGAGCTAAGGTGGTGAGGGAAAAGGAGAGAGCTGAGAAGGCTAAGAGACTTGCTTACGCTCGGCGTAAGAAACAGCAACAGAGAGATGCTGCAAACGCTATAAAAGCGCTACAATTATCCTAAAGAGGTAAGAGGCTAGCCTCAAAGAAACCTACTCTAAAAAAACGTAGTAGGCAGCGTGTTATGGCTGCTGTAAGTGGTAATACTGCTGCACTAGAGCTATCGCTGCCCCCAACTAAAACCACATCACGTGGGCGCAACGTTCACCTCCCAAATAAATTCAGATAGTACAAATTGATCGCAAACATCTTTTTACTACTCCGCTACAAAATCTTATAATACTACCTGTTGTGGGTGGCTCAACAACCTCATGTTTGCTGAGGTTATGATGTTGTTCGCCGGAGCGTCACGCGAACCCGAGCGTCACGCGCACGGGCATGTTATGTTGTAGATCTTGGGAAACTAGAGCTACGTTCTGTATCAACCCAACACTCAACCGCGAGTCAACTCCCGCAAGTCTTAGTGCTGCCTACATCAATGGACTCAACCGATACCAAGGAACCGGAATATGCGACTCCCATATTCCCAGAACTTAGCGTTATCCCCAAGGAGTTTTGCCACAATCCGAGGCAGATCATTGAGGGGAGATTACTTGATCTCCATAACGGCGGACCTGATGAGATGGTCTCGACAAGCGATCTTCGTGACGTGTTTGTTGGCGACTTGAAAGAGTGGGTCACTTTCGAGAAGGATGTGGCCCAGTTATACTACAACCCTGCCGTGCAAAACGCATTTGATAGATGCAACAATGTTGCAGCTGGGCTGAATCTAGTAGGTATTCAGGCATGGGATCCCGATTTTGCCGACCTCAGAAATCAAATCCAGATATCCGATGAATACGGGGTTCTTCCACTATTCCAGCACGATGCTGTTAGAAGGACCAAAGCCGCAGTCAGGCAACTATTCGACTCATATAATCCTGAAACAGAAGATGCCAAGCCTCTCAAGAGCTTGCCACTGGCTGACAACATCGGCATTGGTATTGCAAAGATTGTGAATAAGGGCTTTCGCTTCCGATACAAGCCATATGTCTCGGTAATGACCCCAGGAGACGGAGATAACCAGGAGGAACGCATGATAGGAGAGATGAAATTCTTTACAACCTGTAACATCTCAGGGCTTTGGTATGAAGATGACTCTTTGCAAGACTGTGGAACCAAACGCCATATATTTGGTTAGTTCTCTCAAATGTTCATTGAAAGACAGGGGCATACTAGCAGCTATTCTAGGGCAAGTGGCTCGGAATATGAAAGCACGCGGCCTACGATTCGGCTTCGTGTCGACTTACCTTGAGACTGTATTTCTGAAGGTTGTCATTCAATCGGACGGGCAACTGGCTTTACACTACTCGCAGCCAATCAGGCATACGCAAAGTGTTATTGAGAGCATTTCCACTCCAAACAAACTGGAGAAGATAAGCGTTCGTCTAGCCATTCTGTATTTGATTCGTCGAGTTTCCGGCGACGATAAATCAGAATGGAGGATTGAGCAAAGCACTCTTGATAAGACTGTGGACTGGACGGAAGACAAAGCATATGTAGAAGAAGAATCACAAGGGACTGATGACGAAACCCCGAACACGCGGCCTCAGATGCTTGCAACGCAGACTAGGGACAAGGCCAATATGTTTCCGGATCATGGCTCCCTCACCGAAGAGGAACCGGATGAGCCAGAATCGCCATCCATGGGGTTGTCTCGTACATTGGATCATATGTCCATTGTCAGCCTGGCACCTCGGTTCACCTGGTACACTGTGAACTGTATCTCACGTGACTCCTCGTCACCTGCTTACTCATCTTAGTTGTGTATATAATCGCTTCATGTAGCTCTCTCAATACAACAACTTTCTGCCTCTTTTCTGCTCTGTTCTCCCACATACAACATCCATCAGTAATCGCCACGATCCAACCCCTGCGCAGGGCTGCGGCAGCGTCTCACGGTATGAGAACACGATTCAAGACTAAGGACCCATCACATCTGATCAACCAATTTCGGTAGACCGATGAAGGGGGCTGTTGGTAGAGGAATGTACGACGTAGTAATGGTAGAGTAACACCAGGGAAATACTTGACAGCGACAATATCAGTAAAACCCGGTTATCCCACCCCTGATAGTCGTATCTGGCGCCTACAGCACCTTTTGTGTATTAAGATATCAAATATCTCATATCACCCAGGTGGTAAGATGTTGAACATGCGAGTTGTAGAAGGTCGTCATTGCAGTATGACTCACAGATTCATCTAATTGATTACAAAGAATTTTTTCCTTTCTACTTGGATATGTGCAAGAGCAATTTCGCTATATAGACAATGCGCTTTTGAATATAGATGCAAGAGAAAAGAAATTAAGCCCCAAAGCAGCAAACTCCGTGCACCTAATCGCTCTAAAATCGATGAAAATCTTCAATCCGCAACCCTTACAGCCGCCCATCTACGTTGCCATACTCGGCAACCTCCACCTCATGCAAATGACTTCTCGTTCTAACACTACTCCTTGCGCTGTCGGTGGTAACCAGACTCTGCCGCATGCGCACGGCTTTTTTCGGATCCATTTTAGGATTTGCTACCGGGAGCATCAAGCTACCGTCTCTTTCAGGACCGGTGGGAATATAATGTGCGGGTTGCTTTCCTCTGGTAGATGTTGGCATAGGTGGTATGGGTATCGCGCTAGCACCGGAGTATGTTTTCGCTGGACGCGCGACAGACGGGACTGGCCAGTCGTCGTCGACTGATGACCCCGGCGAGTCTGTATGTGCATTCCAGTCTTCGTGTTCCCCCCAGAGAGGGTCGGAATAACTGGACGATGCAGTTGGCTGATCAACATATATCGATGAGAAAGATGTAGTGGCTGATGTGCGCCCTGGAGCATACGGGCGTGGGTGCATCATCTTCTCCATCTGTAGGTCGATCGTTTGACTCGAGGTGCTTTCTACGTGCAGCTGTCGCGGAACTGTACGGCGGAGCGATAGCATACGTGCTGGGTTCTTGGGGGGTGGTACTCTCTTCTCGATACCGAGCATCTCGTGAGAAGCCTTACCAATCCAGAGCATCTGTTCGTGCTCTCGTAGATAGCGCTCACCACCGAAAGACTTTTGGACAATGCCTCTCGCCATCATGCCCAGCTTTCGTCGATGCTCAGACTTCTCGTACATGCGGCGTGTGATGATCTCGACATCCCTGGGTGTAGGCTTGTGAGGAAGGATAGGGGCCGGCACTCCAGGTTCATCGTCGGCATACTGCGCCCATTCGTCGAGCATTGCAAGGAGGTTAATCTGGGCACGTGCAAGACCATATGCATCGTTCGGCGCAACAACCTCGCTGTAACGTTTGCCGTCGTCGGGATCAGTAAGAACACGTAGTGAAGCACCGACATCTGTGCATACGACAGGAGCTCCAGTCAACGCAGCCTCTCCGAGTGCGAGGGGTAGACCTTCGGAGACGGAAGAGTTGAGGAACAGCCAGGTGTTGGCGAGGACCATCGCGGGGTCTGCAGTGCCTCGCATCGCCACATTCTTACCAAGGCCCTTGCAAGCAAGAATTTCCTGGCACTCCGATGAGTAGACTGGTGATTTGTTGAGAGCGCCGTAAATGTCGAGCTTGTAGTCCTTGAATCCCCACTCGTTGGTGATGATGTCTGCCGCAAGTAGAGCGGTCTTGATGTCCTTTGCGAACCAGACATGGGACAACATGGTAACGGTTGGCGACTTCGTTTTGATCTCCGTCACAGGGGCGAACTTGGTCATGTCGGGAATGCCGTTCACGATAGGATCGACCTTTCGACGGAAAACATTGCGGTGGGTAAGTTGGCCCTTGGCACTGCCAATTTCCACTTCCCAACCGGGGTTAAAGAAGTCTGCACAGGGAAGAATCTGATCAGCATGATGCAAGATGAGACACGAAGTCAACTTCATGAGACCCAACAGAGAATTCCGAATGAACGGCGGCAAAGTGCACATGGCTGAGGAGAGGTAGAGATTAGTCTCTCTCCAGGATATCGCGTGGTCCCAAATCTGAAGCGTGCAGTTGCGCTTGAGTTTGCAAACGATACCGTACGAAGCCGAGACACTGTGATGAGAGGCCTGGAATACGTTCGGAATCCTTTCGGGAATGGGGATCGAGAAGATGAACAAGTATCTGTACCACAGCTCCAGCGCAGTATCAAAGTGGTTGAGGGTTGGTAGCTCAGTGCGGAACCACTCCGACGGTGGTTGCGCATTCGGAATGTCGTCTGCAAGCCACAGGTTCCTCCAAGCATTCTTCACAACATCGCTCGTCCACACCTCCTTCCAATGCCGCGAATCTTGGAAGTACGTGTTGAGGTTGACCAAAGCACGCGTTGCTTGCTTGACGTCTGCTGATGTCATTGTGGTCGCTCGGGCTCCATGAACAAGTGCAGTCAAGGTAGGAATGAAGTTTGTTTCAATATCGGTGATGGTAGCTGCCTTGACGAGATGATCGACCTCGCTGTCGAGCTTGTTGGTGAACATGCCGTGATTAGGGTGCATAAAGTCCAAACCCCATAGTGGAATGATCTTGAGCGACTCAACATTCTCCTCGGTTTGGTGCTTTGGAAGACCGAAGTCATTGGCTGATTCGACTACCATGTGCCATTTGATGGTACGCAAGTTGTTGATGAGGTCGCGACGGCATGCCGACACACCGCCGCCTTCGTTTGGCCAAGTACCGGTGTCGACAGCAATAACGTGTAGATTCTGGTCAGTATCGCGCTGTAGTGCCTTGGTCCTGGTAAAGATGACGGCATCACCGCCTTGTCCGAAACTGAAAAGGTCGCTCATGCGGATGGCGAGAGTTGTCCAAGCACTAATGTCGCTAGTCAAATCAGAGCTCGCCATGATGGCATCGGCATGCATCGCCAGGTAGTCTTCCGCTTTCACAAGGCTTCCACGATCACGGCGTCTCCAGTAGGGCCTGAGGAGGGCCTCGTTTCGAATCAGCTCCTCGTCTACCCATCGAATAACAACACCATCGAGATCGTTTCGCTTCTTCCAAGTCTTCCAGAGCTGGGATCGAGCTCTGGATGTGGAGATGTCCTGCTGTTTGATGTTCCTACGGAGTAGTTGATTCAAGAGGTTTGAGGTCGGTGTCTTGAACGCCAGCAGGGGATTCTCGTCGGCGAAGGTACATCGAGTAGGCTTCTTAAGGACGCCGAGCCAATCGTAGCGGATCATATCGGGGGTATCGACCGGCTCGCCGTTAAGCTTGGTAGTGATGGTTGGGTGGAACTTGTGATCGTAAAACCAAGAACATTCGTATACGTCGGGCCCCTGGACAAACGTCGCTTCGTAGACGCGAGGTGTCGGTATCCAACGCTCCATCTTCTCGGCGTGGCGAACGGGAGGAGCACACCAACTGACATTGACGGACATGTGGGGAAGCACAAACTCCGCGCGGAGCAGTTCGTCATCGTACTTTGCGTTCTTCCGGTAATGGTATTTGAAACGAACCAAGTTATGCTCGCTGATATAGTTTCCAGACTCAATGTGACCCTTGTGGTTGTATACGACTTTGGCGCCTTCATCGCTACCGATACGGCAGCTCCTGCTTAGCGGTATCCTGCTCGACCGGGCTTTTGAGATCATCGATCTCCGCTTTGTTTGCTTGTCTCCATACTCGTAAATGAATTCATTGGTCACCGCGGTATTCTTATATTCCTCGCGTAAGGTGATGCGCATCTTGTTGTCGTACTGGGTGATTCGTGTGTGACCTGATGTTGGCTCTTGTTTCAGGGCACCTTGGTAGAAAGTCAACTTGACTCCACCATCCTCTATAGGGTGCACAAAAGCCGTTTCTGTTTCTCCGTAGCTCTGAATAATCAAGCGGTTCTTCTTCTGAATGATCAGACTGCCTTTGACAGTTCCGGCAAGATCTGCAATATCTTGGCGGTGATGATACAAGAAGAATGGTAGGAAGATTGACATTGCAGCTCGGCTGTATATCCACAACCCGTTAAGTACGAAGGTGGTGGGTATCTGCACGAAACTTGGAGAATGTAAGAGAGCTCCATTCAGCTCACGCTGGTATTCAGGGTCTGCCATGCACGCCAAGAAGAAGAATTTTACCCATGTTCCTGTAGAGTGATATACATACGCGATCGGGAGGCGAATGTACTCGGTGAACATGCCAAGTAATGATACAGCCGACTGGTTCAGTACTGGGTGGTATGCTTCCTGGATATCTGAACTCTGGCGGTACTCTGTCTTGGACAGAGAGTGATCGCCCCGGCTCCTGAAGAAGTTGTATTTGGTCACAGCCAAGTAAGCACCCAGGTCGTACCGTGCAATGCACGAAAGTATCGTACAGGAGCTTTCAGCAGAAACATTTCCATTGACCCATGCCATTTCGGTATTCGAATAGGGTGCTCTGATACCGAGACAACGTCGGAGGAAAAGACGGCGGATCTCAAGGGGAAGACTGTCCCACTGTGTATCGCAGTCGAATCCTAGACACAAGTTGCGCAACAGCTCCTTGCGGCATGTCAGTTCAAACGTGGCAGCATCTGCCCCTACATTTGAAGCCGGCATTGATCGTTTACTACACTCGGATATGGGATAAAATCCATCATCTCCTCGGCAGGCGATCATGGACTCAGCGATTTCTGCGTGATGGTGTGGCAGACCAAGTATGGTCTCTGAGCAAGCATGCAATAGTGTTTCTGCAATGATGGTACAGTTGCTGCTCACGTTTGTCTGCCCAAGGCTCGTACCATTTCCGTCCGCAGCTATGTAAAGCGTCAGACGACCTCCTGAAGAGTGCGAGATTGCTCGAAGGTCACCAGCGACTTCTGCTATAGTTCGGATTGGGACGATGAAGACCTGGATGAGATCCTTTCGCCAGGCTGAGAGGATGCGCTGCACCAGGAACGGCATGTTTGGATACGCTTGCATAGCAAGTCTGGATAGATTATCGTGCGTACATGACAGGAGTATCGCGGTAATTTGGTCACCTGGCTGCCCAACAGCATTTACGCGATACCTGTTCTCCCTGGGTGCAGCTCGCAGTTTGTTGCAACAAGCGTGAAGCTCACTTTGACTGAACTCTGCGTCGCTGCCGGCACCGTTGTAGGCATGGTAAACCTCGATGATAGAGGAACCGATCACCAGCGCAGACGCTGGCGGTTTGTTTGAGCTATGAGTCCATCGGATCTTTGGAAGGACCTCGAGGATCCACATGCGAATATCGAATGCCTCAGGTGTGCCTAACTTGGCCGTCCGGAACGAGAGGAGGGCTGCTGTCCAAGTTGACACGGCGAGAGCAATGATCTTGCCGTAAAGGAACCCTGGGAAGATTTCGATGAGTATGTTACCAACCAGTAAGCCAAGAATTACTGCTGCCAGAAGTGGCATCAGTGCATGTGGGCCAGAGAAGATCTTGTTGTACTGGTAAAGGAGTAGGCCAGTGTAGGCGCCGACATAGCTCAAGAACAAGACCACACCTGGTGAGGAGCCATTAAAGACCCAGATAAGGGCAGTGGAAACAGCAAGAGCCCACACATGTACACCAATAAAGTGACACAGAGTGCCGAAGTACAAGTGTCGCCTGAATTTCAAGTCGTTGGCCTTTGCTTTCTTGATCTGCTCAGAGTTCTCAATCGAGACCGGTGACAGCTGCTCCGACATTGTATGTAGATGTTGAGCCTTGTAGTCGAGCAACACTGCACCAATGAGATAGTATGCGAGCCCAAAGCCGACGGATAGTCGAAGTATATCATCGTCCAATGGAATTCCTAGTCCGGCGAACTGACCGCCATGCACGAGATCGAGCCATCGATCCATGAGCGCGACCAGAAAGTAAAGGATTCCGCAGTAGATCTCATCGCCGGCGGTACGCCAGTGTATGAAAGAGTTGTGGAGCCGAATACCTTTTTGCGACTGCTGCATGCTCTCGAGCGCGACTTGTGTCTCAAGGTTCCAGGTCGAGCTGTATGGAATTGGCCGTCTGGTTTCCGTTATGCGCGCATACCAATCCAACAAGAAGAGTGTTGAATCCCAACAGTCCGCCAGCCGCTTGACGAAGCTGTCTTCGGTAGACTTTTGCCAGAATTTGCGTCCCTTTTCTTTCAATACCGCCTCGTGCAAGGCATCACGGCATAATGTAAGGACAGCTGGTTCGCTCATGTTGCGAAAAATCTCTGGCGCGCGAAGCGAAACGTCCGAGGAAGCAGCCATGGAGTCGTTCGCAGTAACGGGCAAATTTCCCGGTCGGTTTGCTATCATGTAGTTAGCATATGTAGCCTGATCATTGCTTTTGTGTACATACCCTTCGCCTGGGCCTCATCTGCTAAGCGCTCAGCTTCCATGTGTCTCTTTAGATACCATTCCTTGACATCGGCGTCGTTGAGGGTCTTGATGTTATGATACCAAGTCACCCATTGAGTCGCCACACGTCGGGTGCCAAGAATCAGTAGTGCAATGAAGACGTATAGAATCGTCAGGTAAATGATAACTTCATGACCCCGAATAAAGATGGTCAATAGAGGGGAGATGAGCAAAGTGGGAATGACCATGATGATGATTTTACGTCCATTGAGGAAACTGGACCCCGGAATTTGGTACGTGGAGAGGACAGCAAGAACAGTCAAGTACGTCGTGAGCCCAAGCAGGTAGAAGAAGAAGACTGCTCCGTTGTTTGGGTTCGATACACTTGAGATGACGATGAATCCAATGACACTTCCAGCAAGGGTGAAAGCGAGGCCACCGACCAGGCGTGTGAGGACGAACATGTTGGCTGCGGAGAACGCCATGGAGATGAGGTAGTAGGTACCTCCAATCGAGATCCAGGTTCCTACGGCACCAGAGAGAAGTAAAGAGCACATCAAAGCTAGGGTAGCATAGTATCTCTCGTCTCCAGACATGTTCACGCTAAGATAGAGTCCATGTCCAGTCGTGGATAGAAGGATAATGTCGACGAGGGCAGGAATAGCGAAGACGCTGAGAAAGGTAAAACGACGGTATGCAGGCATTACAGATGGCTTCTGTTCTGGATCAATGTCTGTCTGGGCTGCGGCATACGCGGAAGCGAATGACGGCGCATTGAAGATCCACATTGGAGGCTGGTGTTCTTCGTGGTTGTAGTAGTCTCTGTGCTTTTTTGAGAGTATAATGCCCATGTCGCTTGGTTTGATATCAAAGTACGCCTCGCATCGAGAGCCCAGCGCGAAGAGTTCTGCAAAGGCCGCGCTCTGATCGGAGTACTGGTTGAAGAGCGGGTTCCGGTCTGACACTTCGATGTAGACCTCTTCAAAGCCATGCTTTCTAGCGGCGCTGAAGATGCAGAAGAGAACAAAGTCGGCAGCTGAATCCAAGCTTCCTCTGCCTGTGATCTTTGCTATAGCTGAAGTGATGATGTCAAGCCTTTCATGATCACGTGACCACAAGATGTCGCCAAATACCTCGGCAACGTGTCTGAACAGCTGCAGGGCGTCTGACCTACCAATTGTTGGTAGACGAGAGCCCCGATACCATTTGAGCTTCGCGCTCACTAATTGCTCGTCGCTAATGCTGCCACTGATGTACTCCACGTTACTCAGCTGCTTGAATTGATGATACGTTGGTACGTCGATCAGCAGCTCTTGGCAACGCTCGCGAATAGCTGAAACCAGAGAGCAGTCTTGGTCCCACTCAGAGTAGTGAATGTGCTGCAGGTACAATAGGAGATCCGAAGAAGAAAGCAAGTCCAGGTCTTGATGAAACCTTGCGGGTAGGCGTTCATGCGAAAAAGACCCCACGGTGAACTCTGACAGGCCGTACTCAGCGAGGAGGCAATGGTATCTGGAGAATCCAAGCCTGCTCAGATGTGTGTGGAGCACGACAGTATTGACATCCTGCACTGACTTGGAGATGTACATGATGATAGCCTTGGTTCTTGGCTCAACCTCCCATACTGACCAAAACTGGGCGCCACTAGGGGTGTGAAACCCTGAATCGAGCGCAGTGTAGACTTGTAGTTGATACGGGTCGTTGGCATCGTCGTTGGTGTGGGATAGGACATGCGCAAGGTTCGAGATGGCTTGTCTTGAGGTAGGCACTAGGTCAAGGAAGTGACTGCTGCTGTGGCAATAGCCACTAAGAACTTTTGCGGCGGCCTTGAGTTGCTGGGAGGTGGCCCTGACCAGTAGTTTTAGGTCGCGTAGACGCCGTTGCGAGACGAGAACGCGATCGAAGTCTGTCTTGGAAGCATCCAGACCAATGGGAAAGCATCCGAGTGATGTATATAGTGTTCCATCGTAAGCGCAAGAGAGTGGGTTATCCGCCTTCTTTTCCATGGCTACGGACCAATCCAGCGACGATCCAGGCGATGTGGGTTCTCGCTGAACTAATGCTCCATTTTCGTCAATCTCAGGGTAGTGCACGGTAAGCGTAGAGGTACTGGAAGCATCGTCATCTTCAGACTCCGATCCATCTAGATTGGCAAGTGCATCGGCCAGAAAGGGAAAGATCTTTTGCAAAGGCAGATAGTCATCAATGATGCTCGAAAACCCCGGGGAAAGCTGTATAGAGTTAGAAAGGTCTCCAGATGCTTAGAGGTTTGCACTTACTGTGCGTGCGGCTCGGTAGTTGTCGTGAACGTCCATGACTCTACGATCCTTCAACCACTGGAAGGCTGCCAAAGGCTCATCGCAGGGGCGAACTTCATCAATGTTTGTCAAAGCGCGTTGTCGTGGGAAGTACGGAATCGCGCCATGATAGCTGCACCACATGTGTGCTCTTCTAACTACGGCATGCGAGAGCTCGGCGTTGTCGTCGATCGTGTCCCACATCATGGTGACGAAAGGGCGCTGGCAGGCTTGCGAAACAAATGATTTCGTGGTGGTCTTCATCTTGTCCATGGCGAAGAAATCGCGGCGATCTCCATTGGACATAATTGTACCATTCCGCACTACCATACCGGCAAATAGCCCGATGTCGAGTTTGCGGACACCATCCAGGAAGTCTGGAGCTCCGATCTCGAGGTATATATCCAAGCCATATGCAGAAAGAAGCTTTGTCAGGCCATTCAATAGAGGCACAGAAACGCAGTCGCGCCACCCCGCTACCAAGACGCCAGTAAAGTATCTCTTTTGGTCCGCCTGTCGCAAAGTCTGTTGAACAGTCGACGAAAGTACATATATCGCGCGCGACATTTCCGATTCAAATTCCATGGCTGAGAAGGTGATGACTTTGCTAAGGTCCAACCGCGCGATGATGTGCGGTCCCATAGGAATACTCTCATCGCTGACAGCCTCCAAAACCCCAGGTTGGGAGTGATCCAGCACCACAGCCTCCCATTGCGATAGTATACTGATTTCTTCTTGTGTGGCGGGAGTACTCAATTGGCCTAGGTATACACCAAACGATGCTAGCTTGGTGGGAAGGACGTGGGATTTGCGCACGACGCTCGAATCGTTGCATAGAAGCTGAATACGTTCTTGTACGGATCGCGGCAAGTTATCGGGGTCGGCTCTTCTCTATTACTTCCGTTAGCCTTGAGGATACAGCAATCGTGTACGAATCGTACCTTGAGGAAACTACTGAGGATACGGTACGCATGCCACAGCACTGTGATAATACCAATGAGACCGCTGGCGCCGATGATGGCAATGAGCGTCCATTCCCACCACCACCCGTGAAGTGATGGCCCATGACGGAAGGCCTCAATACCTAGGATCTCTGGTCGGGGCATTTTTGCTAACTTGCCGGGATCCAAGGGCGCGGCACGATGGCAGGAGTTCCCAAACGTAACTCCGCAGGTGGGCTCAACTTGGCATAGGCAGTACCATGGGTGAAAGAAATTAATCAGAGCATGTAAAACATGATAACGATAAGATGGTCCATAAAAAAATTCAGAATAGTTGAATCGAAGTAATGTCTAAGGGTAAGATGACTAGGGTAATGTGTGAAATAGCAGACTCGTCAGCCTCCTAAACAACCAGACAACCAAAGGAAGCACACATCGCCTTACGTTAATTGCAATCAGGTATTAGCTGACGATCTGCGCATTGCGTTAGCAGACAGAGTGGATAGCCAACTGTGGTAGAAGCTCCACCACTGCAGGCAAGCGGTAAAGTGCAGCACAGACATGCTTCGAGAAGCCTTCAAACCAGCTCGTACACCTCTCGGTTGCCATGAATAGCAATGGAACGGCAGTCATGGGTGCGCGGTTTCCGACACGAAGCCTTTGCCCCGTACATACATTGGCAGCTGTGATGACAGCCCACACTAAACCCGCCCGGCGGGTCCATGCTCATCTATTCCGAACAGCGAGCTTTGGCTATATTGGTACTAGGTAAGAGAACGCATGATGGGAGATGTGGGCGGTAAGTGGTGGAAGGAGTGAAGACGTGACGAGGCTGAAGGGTCAGGGTTCGTGCAGCATGTCCGTGCACGACAATCTTCTCTCTTTCCGACGTTCATCCGGGCTCGGGCACGGGCTCGCCTTTAGCCTAACTTTCCTCCGCACTACCGTTTTGATATGATCCTCATCTATCCCGGCACCTTGTCGGGCGCGACCCCGAGGCTAATGCACTGTAATGCATCGCTTGCATACGAGGTCCAGGGGCCATAATTACTCACGCAATATCGGAACACTGTCCCCAAACGAGACCTTTAGTGTAAGCTGGCTGAAAAGCACCAGCCGAGTTTGCCCACGATATCCACACTCTATCGTATTCATTGGGGCCTTACACAACTGCCCAGACTTTTGTCGTGCGCCTCATAGACGTGCGGCTGATGCCTTCAGAGGGAGTCTCAAGTCCTGAGTACCGATACATCAATATGCGAGAGATGTTCGGTCTACATTGGTATCACGTGGTAGATTGCTTCTTCACGGCTATGTGTGTGTGCAAGGATCCGCCAAGAACCTTGTTTCCTATATGGCTTTAAGGCAAGTTTCGTATGCAACGCCTCCCAGCAGCACACGGCAATAATTCTCCAAGACGTCTGATGGAGTTCCACACCGCGCACGCCACTCACTGAACGCCTTGAAAGTCAAGCCCAGGTGAGCTGTTCAGCTGAGAATTCACGTGGAAATCGATAGTCTCATGGACTTTTTCCGCATCTGGACCACTGACGACCTGGCAGCCTATAACATGTTCGCTGCCGAGACTTCTTTATTAAGACGTCCAGGTTCCTAGGGGAATGTTCCATCTTACGCTGTTTACTTCGCGTCTCATCATGACGTTCTCATCGTTGCTGCGAGTATGCGCGCTCTCTTCCTTCTCTCTCTTCCTGCAGCATGTCTCGGCATACGTGGGTAGCGCTACTGTATCTAGCACAATCCTAATCATTGCGCGCGATACAACATCTGCTACCAATGGTGCTGCACTTGGTCTCCAAGGATATGGTATCCCCTACGAGATCCTCACTGTCCCACAGGCTGGCATAGCCAACCTACCTCTGCTCAACTCTACGGTTACGAACGGAAACTATGGTGGTATTATTACCATAAGCGAAGTGGGATACAACTACAATGACCTGTACTACAGCGCACTCACAGATGCGCAATGGAGCCAATTGTACGCCTACCAGACCAATTTTGGTGTGCGCATGGTCCGCTTGGATGTGTATCCTACGGCCGACTTTGGGGTTTCTCCCAATGGTGGCAACTTGAACGACGAGCCAGTGTCCTTCACGAACATGTCTGGATTTCCATCTGCCAATCTCAAGGCGTAAGTTTTCGCGAACTCTTCATCGATACGTAGCTCACAAGGCCGATAGAAATGTTCCCGTCAGTATTGCAAGCATTTACCACTCTCCCGCAACTATTGTGAACGCTTCAATTGCGTGGGAAGTGGCGAAGTTCTCAGTCGGTGGATCCGCTGCTGTTATAAACCAAATTGGCGCCCGTCAGCAGATGGTGTGGTTCTTGCCTTTTGCGTTAGACTGGGCGCCCTCTAGCAACATCTTGCAGCACGCATGGATCACTTGGATCACCAGGGGTCTTTATGTTGGCTTTCGGAGAATTTACCTGAGCACACAAGTGGATGACATGTTCCTGGAGACTGAGCTTTACAGGCCACAGGGCCAGATCTTCCGTGTCAAGCCAGAGGATCTTTCAGTGCACGTCCAATGGCAGGCTGGCCTCAACGCGAGGATGCCTGCTGGTTCTGATTACTTCGTCGAGATTGGACACAACGGTAACGGTGATATTGAAGCTAGTGTGGAAACTACCAAGGGTCAGACGGTATGCTCGCCTAGCAACGCTATCGAGTATGCGGAACAGAAGGACGGTAGCCCAGAGTACCAGAAGCCACCTGGCACAGGCGTCAACATCTGGCCTACCACGCCTACTCAGTACACTTGGAGCCTTGAATGTGCGAAGCTCGATGCATTGGAGAACTGGTTCGCAGTCGCAAGCCAGCGCGACGCGTTTGCGCACATCTCGCATACATTGTACGTCCTCTTCGGCCCGATTTTCTGCACCTCTAACTTTATATAGTTCACACATGGATTTGACTAACGCCACATACTCGGACGCGTCCAAAGAGATCACCTTTAACCAGGCATGGCTGAAGCAGGTTGGACTTGATGCCGCCAAGCGCTGGAGCCCCAACGGCATCATCCCGCCTGCGATCACTGGTCTCCACAACGCAGACGTTATCAAGGCGTGGATGGACAATGGCATCAACAACGTAGTTGGAGACAACACTCGACCACCGCTCCGCAACACACAGAGCACTTTCTGGCCATTGACCACCAACGTTGCAAACAACGGCTACGCTGGGCTCATCGTCATGCCGCGATGGGCTTCAGTCATTTACTACAACTGCGATCTTCCGGCCTGTACGCTGCAAGAGTGGATCGACACTTCTGCTGGAAAGGGAACTTTCGATGATCTGCTCACAAACACGCGAAACACTGCCATGACCAACCTGTTTGGCCTCCACTGGGACCCGTAGGTTACCATGTCCACCTGAAGATACCTTGCTAAACGTGCATAGTTACATGTTCCACCAAGCCAACATGCGCGTCAGCGATGTCCCATCGACTACCGTAAACGGCAAATCGGGACAATACTCCCTGCTCATGACATGGGTCGAGGTCATCACTGCCGAGATGATGCGCCTGTAAGCTCACCCGATATGGATTCCCAAGATATGCGCTAACGGAATGCAGTACTACCTGGCCGTTCAGGACGCTCAAACACGATGACATGACACAGCAGTTCATCAACCGACAGACTCGAGACCTGTGCCGCCCTAGCATGACATGGACCACCTCAGCCGATGGCGCTAGTGTCACTTCGGTCAACGTGTACACCGCTGGCGGCAACAAGTGCGGAACCACGATTCCCATCACGGTGCCAGGACCTATTTCTGACACCACTGGTGCGACTAAAGAACAGGTTGGGAGCGACCCACTCACCTTGTGGGTGACAATGAGTGGCGCAAGCAGGCAGTACAAGTTGTCTTCGGCACTACAACTGTAGGGGCCATCGCCACCACCAAAAAGCACTGCATCGTCAAGGTCGCGCTTCAAGTTTCTTCGTATCTAAATTTAGTATCATTTCCATAGATGGTGCTTATCCAATTGATTTCGTCTCTGCCCCACGAACTTTGTATGCCAATGAAATGTGATTGAGTTGTTGAGAAGGCAGATCTTGGCAACCATGACTTTCTCTCAGACCCTGCATACATGTAAGTACCTACAAGGCGCTAGCTGCCTCAGGGGTGCACAAACCGTAAGCGCCGCTCAACCCCACATCCACCAACACCAACACGACGGCTTATGTACGGGTGAATACGAGCTCAAGCGTCACCAAGGTACGGGGACTAGCAGCGCCTTTGGATTTGGCGGCCGCCTGATTACGTGAAACTTGCCACGTTGCTCCCCCAGTGACATTTTTTAAATGTCGCACGACATCCCCTGTTATTCCGGTCAGCCAATGTTAAGTAAACGAGTATTGAAGATCTTATAAAGGATGTAGTTATGCACTATGTGTTGTGAAGTGTTGTGATGTGTTGGGTTTGGAGAGGGGGCGGGGGCTGAGACTTCTTCGCCGTTTGAACTGCGCCCCTCCCCCTCAGGCGCGCCACAGCCGCAATATTGCTACCTCAGCGCTAATCCAAGCCAGCCGCACGCCTTGCAGTTTTATATTGACGACACATGCAGACGCCGCATATGTTTGCCATTGCGGGCCTGCATGTAGGCATCCATTGGTCTGCGCCGCTTTTCTCGTCGCCTCTCTCCTCGCGACTTTTTCGAACTATTGATTCCTGAGTTTCTCAGCTCACGCCATCGTATCGTCTAGAACGTGTCAAAAGAAGACGTTGTTCCTCTGCACATGTGGTGGCTTGTTAGCATCATCGTCATGCGTAGTCGACCTTGTTGCATGCCTCACGACATCGTCGTCTATTTCCACTTGTAATCGTCCCGAGGCCACCCCCTCTCCATTGATTTTGCCCCTCACCCCCAGCAGCAAGCAGCGAGAGGAGCGGCAAAGTTTCTGCAACAATGGACGCCAAACCTGCAGCACGCCGACCATGGAGTCTGCGCCGAAAACTCCTTCTCATCGTCCTTCCCCTCGTCATCATCGTTCTAGCCCTAGCGCTAGGTCTTGGTCTGGGTCTGACGCTCGGAGGAAGCGGAGACGACAATAGCTCCTCTCCTCCTACCTCCACGCTAACCCCGCTTCCATCTCCGAACTCGACAGTTCCCTGGACACCCGCCGTATCGTCAACATGGCAAATCATCCTCAACCATCCGCCTGTGCTGGACAAGGACGCTTCAAACACCACGCCTGATGTATCCATCTTCGATATTGATCTCTTCGATACCCCAAAGGAAACTATCCAGCAGCTGCACGCACTGGGCAAGAAAGTGATATGTTATTTCAGCGCGGGGAGCTACGAAAACTGGCGACCTGATGCAAGCGAGTTCAAGCCAGAGGATCTCGGACACAATCTCGATGGCTGGCCCGGCGAAAAATGGTTGAAGCTCAGCAGCGATAATGTGCGACGCATCATGAAGGAGAGGATGAAAATGGCCGTCGAAAAGGGATGTGACGGTGTCGATCCCGATAACGTGGACGCATATGTGAGTTTCTTCTTTACATTCTACGGGTCTAACGTCATGGGAAGCGTCGGAATCTTTGTTTTTACTGCTATTTCGGAGAGAAGGAAGCGGGCTAACGGGGTTTCCGGAATAGCAAAACGATAACGGTCTCGGGCTGACGTCGAATGACTCCATCAACTACATGGAGTACCTCTCGTCGATCACTGCGCCCCTGAAGCTTGCCCTCGGTCTCAAAAACGCCGGTGACATCATTCCAGCTGTGCTACCCCTGGTCCACTTCTCGGTCAATGAGCAGTGTGTCAAGTACTCCGAATGCGCTACCTTTGCGCCTTTCATCGCTGCTGGCAAGCCTGTGTTTCACATCGAGTATCCAGACGGTGCTGGGGCGGAGCAAGGGCTGAAGGAGGATGTAGTGGGAGAATTCTGTGCAACGAATGGGAAAGGCGATGGGAGCCAAGGCTTCAGCACCTTGTTGAAGAAGATGGAATTAGATGGTTGGGTGGAGTACTGTGACAAGGTCGTAGAGACTACGGATGTAAACGAGAATCTTGGTGGAGGCAAAGGCAATGGAGGAGACCGAAAGCGATAAAAGAAAAGAAAATCAATTTTCATGTGGGAATTCACTCATCTCGGAAACTCTAGCTCAGCTTCCTTTGCAAATCTTCAGCTTTGCTTCCCGTGTGGTACGATTAACCTAGGCCACGGACGAAGCCATCACGACATGAAGCTGCGTCAGCACGCAATCAAGAGAACAAGCTTTTCCAACATGCTCTACCACCGGTGCTGTGGCGATAATTGCCACATCTCACACAACGGAGGCTAGAGGCTGCAGGACCGAGTAGGATACAGGCCAAGGTGTGTGGCTTTGCTTTTCTCTTTCGGGCGAGTTTTCTAGCCCGAGGATGCGAGGCTCCACGGGCGCTTAGTCTTTGGTCCCTGGCCTCTCTGCCCCACCGTTACGCGACATCGTACGACTTGATGCTCCCCATCCGCTGCTTCAGCTCAGCCCTGGTGTATGTCACTTGCTGACTTGCAAAAGCAATGCCACAATGTTGACTAAGGTCGCATTTAGCCTAGAGTCGAAAAGCTGGGGAACCTAGTCTACACCAATTCTCCCTGCGTGCAATCATTGAGCGGCTGAAGTCTGACGTGGTTGCCGTGTGTTCCATGGCGGTAAGCTAACTGGCTCAATTTCCCTTTGCAAGGCTGGATGTCGCGAGATGCCATGCACTTTAACTTGGCGGGTCCACGTGCCAAGACACATCTACCGACCGGTTGAATTCCTTGGATTTATCCCATGTGATGGAGCGAAACAATCCCTGGGTTACTCACAACAATTGCCGTCGGCTTTGAAACTGCCAGTTAATCTCTTGTTGCGATCGGTATAGGATGTTGATTGTAGACCACGCGGCCTCATCCGAACAAATTCCTCGTACTTAGAGCGGGCTAGTGGCCCGAGGACGGCACGATTCATGGCTGCCGCTGGCGGCCATGTCAATAAACACATTTGGTGCGGGACGTTAGTCCGGAGCAGATCGAGGTAAAGACATCCACCAACTGCACGTTCCCCTCCAGCCTCGCGGGGAAGCTAATGGAGAAGCTAAAGGAAAGATGCATGCCCAGATGCATCGCGCAGAAATACGGGATACGCGTCAGTGGACACCCCGGATACCCGTTTCTCAAGTCAGCTACTGCAAGCTGGTGGTCTAAACAAGCTCCGTCACGAAATTTTCTTGCAAATAACGCCACGATAGACGGCCGAGCCACCAGTTTGGGCGATTTACAAGCCGGCAAGATGCATGGTGGTGTGGATTTTGGATCGTTCTCGTCCCGTGTTGGAGGCGCTTTGACTGGGCATGCAGCTATTTCGATCCACGTTGTGTAACTGAAACGATGCTGACTGGGGCAGGGGTCGCATGTGTTGAGGCTGTGAGCAAGCCCCAGGGGCTGGTCCGCGGACGATGCCTTGTTGCGGGTGTGGAGACACGTTGTCTGTGCGCTAGTTGTGGAGACTAATCAGATCTCCAAGACCCAAGACGGTGCTTTTGCAGTTTAGTTGCGTGACTAAGCACTACTGTACTCGAAATTGTACCCGAGCCGAGACGACTGTCTAAGTATGTCTGTCCCGACCCGATGAAATCGCCATCGATGTGTAGATAGGTATGTCTGTGTGGGCATGTGAAAGCTTGATTTTCGCTTACGGGCCCAAATGGTCGGAAGCGCTGCGGACGCAGCGCATTTCGCGAGCAGCGAGTATGACTGTCCCGATGAGACCGAACGAGGTTTTCCAGCCTCGTGGTATGTCATACGAAGCTATCGAGACCCTTTGTGGCCCGAGCTAATGTACTGTGACATTCAGCAAGGCATGATCTTCGGGTGTTTGCATCTTGATGTAGCAGGTACTGCGACTGGGTGCGCAGAACCGCTAACATTCAAGCAGCGCGGCTCAAGTCGGCCCTGAAGAATGACATGCGTTGTTGTGAAGTTTGAAAGTTTGTTGAATCTTGGCGACTCTGCGCATCCCGCATGTCATTGTTCAGGGCCGACTCACTTTGACTGACCGTTGGCGACTCTGCAAATCCCGCGAGCTGGCCCTAAAAAATGACATGATTGTGGTGAAATGCAGCTAATATGCTTTAGGGCCGGAGAATCGTCTCGAAGAAAAGGCAATTTCAGCAGGTATGAGAGACTGCAGCAGAGCTGGCATATGCAGATGAAGGCCAGGGTTGTGATAAAGTGGTTTGGGCGGAGTTAGCGCGGGCTTAAAGGCTTAGTATTCCGATCCGGGGATGCGGACATGGATCATCTGACTGTCAGATCTGCCGCCCAAAGCAACATGACAGGGGAGGTGACAGGGAAAGTTTTGGAAAAGTTTAGATTTGATTGGATGGGGAATGGCAAGCGCAGTCTCGGTGAAGATTACACTTTCTTTTCACCTAGCATGCCTTTCGGCCATATGTATCAGCTTCTGATGCGTATTCTATCGATTCATCCGTCGGGCTCGCGGTCCGTTAAAGTAGAGAAGAGCAACTTTCTCTCAAGTGAACTCCTCGGGATCTATATATTTGTCAAGACGATATTCCTATAGTTCGTCAACGGAAGCGGTATGCGCATAGTCGATCAGCCCGGGAGACTTGTGAATGCTCCTCGTGTCAGGATCGTCATACCGGTAAATCGAGGCTGACTGTATGTATGTGTGCCAGTCCGTCAAAATGGCTTGGACTGCTCAGAATAGCATTTCGGGAAGATTAGTGTTGGGCTCGAATACGGTGGCGACCGACTCCGTGTGTGATTGTGTGGGTGTCGCCGCCGAAAACCTGGATCTCGGCATCCTAATGGCCCGAACCCCCATTTTCAGCCTGACAAGGTCTCCAAAAGCTGTATGAACGTGGGAAAAGCACAGTTCATCTCTGCATAGTCGGAGCTAGTTGTAGGCTACGACCCACGAACAGGAGCTGCAGTAGCGTGTTCGTTGTCTCAATAGAAGTTAGGCTCGGCCAGGAATGGACAGCACTAGGATTTCGCGCCCAATTCCCTGCTACACAAGACGACTAGGCTCGGGCAAGCGCCCGGATTGTAAAATGCAGCACAATGCCAGCCTTATGCTCATGCAACTGCCGGTGCGGGCAATCAAGTTGCTGCTCTTCCGTGTAACCGATAGTAAGTCTTTACTCCACGAGTGGCGCGTTAGGAGAGGATCACACCATACCATGGATATGGCAAAGCCAAATTCGTGACTGTGGTGTCCAGAGTGCGAGTCAGATTGAAGTGAGCCGGTTGATATTTCTTTCCTTTAGACCGGACCTATGTTGAGATGCCCGAGCAACGAGATCAAGGTACTCAGCGTAATCTAAAGACTACTGTCACCAACAACGGTCCCACTCAATACAAGTGCTGACTTGTATTCCTTCAGAAGAGCAAACGAAAGTGACATCCCGTACAGACCACGGACTTCGTGTCCAGCATGTAGTTGCCACATCATCTATAGTGCTTACATGGTTGAGCGAGTCGAGTGCGTCGTTGGCGACAGAATAGTCTACATCCGGCGTTGCGCCATGTCCATGTCCGTTGTGATTGTTTGTGGATTTTGTAATTTGTATTCGGGAATGAGACGATTCCCGAGGAATATGGAAAACTTTCAGCCATGGTGTGGCACGTACAACAATGGCAAGGCGCCATACGCATGGCGGGAAGGATTCCACGCGCCGACGTAGGTGGACATGGAGCGGGACCATGTACGAGCCAGACCCTTCCATAGCTCCGTTTTGGGCGCGGCTAGTTGTAAGCCGATGACGAGGACTCAGCTCCAGCCTCCACAATCCGAGTGAAAAGTTCAGTTTGTGAGTGGGGACTTGCCGGCCTGAATGATTGCAATCATGTAAAGTGACCTGGACCGATGTGTTTAGACGTCATTAACAGGTGCGGCGACGAAAGATGTTGTTAGAAATTGAGCAGTTCCTCACGGACTGCCCTCGTTAGTGTGTCGCAGCCAACTATTCTTGGGGTCTAGAGAATACCGCCGTGCGACCTACTGTACACAGTCAGGTGTTGGGTATTCGCCATGCAAATTAGACAGGGATTATTAGCGATGCGAGAGTATCTTCCAGAGTGCTGGACCTGACGAGACTTCGGATCTGAGCAGTCGGGATTAAGAGGCCGGGTCGTGCCAAGCCCATAAACAATATCGATGGCGCAAGAAAATATCTCTTTTGGTCGTGTTCTGCCTAATTGACCGTGAGCTGCGTGGAATCCCAAAAGCTGTGCGTATATAAAGATTTCTGGGCATACCTACCAAGTCTCACATCACGGCAACAACATTCGCTCTTCATTAATTCACTCTTTTCTTCGATACGCAAGCTTTCCTGCACGTCATGTCGTCATCTTCATCGATGTTTTCATGCTCGCCGTCCGCATCGCCCGCGGCCGTCAGCACACCAGAAACCCAAAAATCCGTACTCTTCGACGACGATGTGGTTGCGGATCCCCTCGACATTGCCGGATCGGATTCTCCATTCATCATGGTTGTCGGTGGGCTCGGATATATCGGCTCGCATACAACACTGGAGCTGCTCAAGGAAGGCTACAACGTCCTCGTCGTTGACGATCTCAGCAACTCATACGAAAACGTTTTGAGCAGGATCAGAATCCTCGCACTCGAATATTGCGCGGCACAAGGAAAGCAAATGCCAACATTGCAGTTCCGGAAGCTTGACTACAGAAGCTCTCAGATGAAAGTCGTGCTGTCTGAGTATTCATCATACTGTATCGGCAGTAAACCAGCACCAAACGCGGTTCGGTTCCCCTTTTCGACGCTGCAGCGAATGGATTCCGGTATCGACATAGCAATGGATGATGTACAGCGTCCCGTTCTTGAGCGTAGATCCAGAATCTCGGGGGTGATCCATTTTGCGGCGTACAAGTCCGTCGAAGAGAGTATCCGGATGCCACTGAGATACTACAACAACAACGTCTGTGGGCTAGTAGACTTTCTGGGTCTGCTGGAGGAGTTTGGAATCAAGAACTTTGTATTTTCGTCGTCGGCAACGGTTTACGGCGAAGGTGCCAACTGCGGAGTGCCTCTCCGTGAAGAGCTGTGTGTTCATCACACGGAGTCTTTCGTAGACAACCAAGGAGTTGAACAGAGCGTGCTTCCAGGAGTTATGGGTCTAACATCTCCCTACGGACGGTCCAAGTTCATGTGCGAATCCATCTTGGCAGATCTTGCGGTGTCCGACCCAACATGGGCCATTACAGCGCTGCGATACTTCAACCCGGTACGTGGAAAGTCCAGAACTGATTTGGAATGCGGCTAACATAAGCAGGTCGGATGTCACGAGTCTGGTCTTTTGGGCGAGGATCCACGGCAGAAGCCCAGCAATCTGATTCCAGTCATCGCAACAGTGCTGACAGGGACTAAGCCAGTACTGGACATCTTCGGCACTGACTGGAACACACCCGATGGTACAGCTGTTCGTGACTTCATCCACGTAGTCGATCTGGCTCGGGGTCACATTGCAGCACTAGCGGCCTCGGCTGCTGGTCGTACCAAAGGCGCCTTCCGTACCTACAACCTTGGTAAGCTTTAACGATACCATACTATCCTTGGCAACTTGTCTCTGACCCGACTTAGGTACTGGACGAGGACATAGCGTCCGTGAGGTGCTTGGGAGTCTGGAAGGAGCGTCCCAGCGGAAGATCCCAGCGCGGGAAGTTGGCCGTAGACCGGGTGACGTTGGCTTCTGCGTGGCAGAGGTGCGCCGAGCTGAAACCGAGCTGCAATGGAGAGCAGAGCGGTCTCTGGACGACTGTTCCGGAGACGTTTGGAACTTCACAAAGGCTCGATGTGCCGGATCGCGGGAGTCTGATCCAATGGTGTGCTAGCGAGCACGATAAAAGTTTTGGGATAGTCGCACACTCCGGATGATGCATCGGTCCCCTAAAATTACTCCGTCCACTTTTCTTCGCATACCTGCAGCATCGCAAGCTGGCGTTTGGTTTTGTCCTACACCGTATATATCCGGGTCTGCTTTGGAGCTAGATAGATCATATGATTCGAGTTAATAATCCAGGAGTTAGTTGAACGAGCGCTGTGAGTGCACTGTGACGAAGATTGCTACAGGTTGACATGTCAAATGAGGGGTTCACGGGTACGTCTTCCGTGGTGTGTCATGAGGGAGGCTGGTCTGCAAATCATGACCACATGGAAGCGGATAATGGACGCCGGGAGAGGACGAGGTCTGCCGCTGACGTCTACAAAAGGCGCATGGAGGCTTGGCCGGCGAGGTTTGGGCAGCGCAACCACGAATTTATACTTGACAGTTTTACCCACGCTGTCGTGATGTTGATAGCACGGTGGCATGTTTATCTCTCTGAAACGTACACTATCCAATTGAGATGCTTTCGTGAATCTCTCACGGGCTTGGTGTGGGTGGGCTCAGCGCTTGTATCTGATAAGACCTGCTCGGAATGGAGGAGCCAAGGCCAGCTTGCCCCAACCCGACATGCTGCTCGTTGTCAAGCCACCCGTGGAGTTTGTCCAATCGAAAGAGGTGATCGCTGGCAAGCGAGTAACTCCAGCTGGGTCGGGGTCGTACTAATCTCTTTACTCATCACTCACATGACCTCAAAGCGCTACCCTACGATGGAAGTGCGATCACGTGTGGCGAGGGGATTTGAATTTCCCCAGCGCTCTAATAAGACAGGTTGAGAAGCGCAATCGGACGTATATTAGAACGTCGCCTCGCGAGACAGCGGTGACGGATTGATTGCGCGCACTAAACGGCCCAGTAATTGACGACGGCTCGTCCGAGAAGGCAGCTCGCGTGTCCCGATTCGCCAGCCAGGCGTTTCAACAGCGGTGGGCTTGCGCTGCGGGCAACAGGAGTCAACGGTATGATAGCGTAACGGTAGTCCGCCCATTTCCACGGTGCGAGCGAGTGGGTTGCACAATGGCAGGTGTGAGCTGAATGAAGACGGTCGCAGATCTCAGAGGGCCGACAAAGAGGCTGAGGCTGCAAACATTTGGTCGGGGGCGAAGCCGGCCGATTGGGTAAAGGGTGGTTCGGGATCGGTTTGGCACCTTCCCATTCCCAGCGCTAACCAAGGGCGTCACGTGCAACCGTCAACAGTACTAGCAGCCCGCACCCGTTAGACCTTCAACGTCTCGACAGACGCACTGTTGCAACGCCGCGCTCACTCGGACGCTGTGAATACTGGACGACTGCGAGAAGCGCTGCTTGCAATGTCGATGCCTGCCCACTCCATGACGGGCGCCCCTTCCATGGCGGGTGGCGTGGATCCCGCTTTCTGGGGCGGCCACCGCGACTTCTCATCCGACTCCACTTCGCCCATATCATCATCGCTCCGACTTCACATGTCGCCTTCTACCAGTGTTACCACGCAAAGTAGCGTCAATGGCGGCACTCCGCCTGCACAGACGCCCCAGTCTGATGGTGGGAGAGGGAACTCACAGCCTGCACCGAAGAACAGCCAGAGGCAATCAAACAACGAACAAACAAGGGCCTCAGTCGCAGTCGCGTGTGTTCCGTGCCGGAGCAGACATCTTAAATGCGACGGTGGAGTACGGTGTTCCCGATGTAGGACCGATAATGTGGAATGTACCTACATTAAGTCACGACGCGGCTGGAAGGGGAAGCGCAAGAACAAGGACGAGAATGGCGCGCCGGCGACGGTCAACGGTGCGTGAACTGGCGACGGCGACCTTTCTAACATCTAACATGACCAGGTCTATCTGTTTCCGAGGCTCCAGTCATCCATGCGGGTGCTGGCCTTCCATCACCCGAGTACTCTTATAACGGCGACCTGAATCAACTCTCCCCGACTCATGGCCTTGGCGTCCGTCCAGTAGCGCCACCAGTTGCTCAACTCAACCTGAACGGAACTGCACGCCTGAACCGCTTTGGTCACCATGGTCCGGAGACTGCGGTTCAAGCTTTTTACCATTACTTTTACAACTCACATCCCTTCTGCCTGCCCGAGGTGAGGTTAGCGGATCTCTTCAAGCAGAGACATGCCCCGCTCCTGGAATATGCCATCCAATTCATCGGGTCAAGTTACATACCCTCGGTACCAACTGCAATGTACAAGGAAGCTTTGGACCGCCAGATCAACAACGGTAACTTTCCAAGGGATGCGTGGTCGGTCCAAGCTCTGCTCCTCTTCTCCATTGGTCTCCATGCGCATAACGAGGTGCCTCGAGCCGCACAAGTCTTTGCCATAGCTCAGAACCTGACCCTGGAGATTGGTCTTAACCGGATTGAGTTTGCCCTGATGCACGGTGAGAACGACCCGCAGCTAGAAGAGAGCTGGCGGAGAACGTGGTGGTCCATGTTCACGGCCAATGGCATGATGACAGCCGTCAACCCAGGTGTGCAGTTCAGACTAAAGGATGTCGTGTCTGATGTTCCGCTTCCATGCGAGAACAGCCAGTATTTCTCAGGTGTAAGTTCAAGGCCCCCACCCGCTTAGTCTGACACCTGTCAACCGAGCTTGGCAGTGTTTCCCGCATGTGCGGTCCGGCGTATAGATCCCGCGGGTGTGGACGGGATCATCTGACTGCATATCACTTTTCCCTTCGCGGCGACTGTGCCACTCATGATTAAGACCGACACTAACAGTCATCAGCAAATACCGTACCCATCAACACTCCAAGACTATGACGATTCCGCTTTTCTCCCCTCACTCGTCACCTTCAGCTCCTTCACCTACCTCATTGACGCCATCCGGATCTTGGGCAAAGTCTTCGAATGCGCGCGTCTCGACTCGACGTTTGAATACCATGCCGTCGATGTGGTGGACCAGTACCTATGCAACTGGCGGTTGCACCTCCCGACGTCCAAGATGGACATTGTGAATAACGATGGTCATGTCGACGAGGTGCTTTTTCAAGCACACATGGTCAATGCTGGCAGCACCATCATGCTGCATAGACCAAGAAGTAGTCTGGGCTTTGGACGAGTTGAAGGTGTAAACATTTGTGTGCAACCAGGACAGGTACTCCTCCCAACGCAAACACGGGAGATCCACACGGCAAAGTGCTTGACGGCTGCTGAAAACATATCCTCCCTCATCCGACTACCCGGACAACTACTCTTCCACACGCCCTTCTTCACCTGCGTCGTCGTCATGGCATCGGTTGTGCATCTTTCCTATTGGTCTTTCCTCGTCCCCGACGGCCAAGACGACATCATAAAGCAATCGATTCGTCTCGATGTTGGTACCCTGCAACAATACTCCAACACCTGGCTCATTGCCAATGTTGTCCTCGGTCAGGTCCGCGGTGTAGCCCACACGCTCTTCAACAGCAAGAAGGCGATGAGCATCCATCTGTGGAGCAACATCGACCAACACGACGTTATCCGGAACGTCATCGAGGAGGGAAGCCATGTCCCACAGCAGCAATATGCTCAGCTGATCGCTCCGTAAGTATATCTTCGTCTTGACTCAGGAAACAGAATTGACCTTTCATCACAGCATGCTGAAATCTTAATGCTCAAAATCGAACAAATTCCAAAATTCGCACCCTCATCGTTCCGCATTTCCCCGAGTTATGGCGTCTTCTCCTTCTTCCGTCTTGGGGGTCAACAAAGCGGGCGTTTGACGCGCACCACAGCGAGAGGGAAATCACGCTTCCTCGACATTTCCAATATTATGGCACACGCGATGTTCCCCCCACAGGGTCCGTTTGATCACATGTTTTGGCTCCATGAAATTTCGTATCATTACTGTTTGCTCATCACTGTCTATGTCTTGTCTTATCCTGTCTATTACTTTCGTTTTTCCCATCTCTAGTCTTCGTGTATAACGAGCCAAATGTCTTTTTCCCCATGTTGTCTAGTACTGGATAAGCAAGCAAGCGCCCGTTTCTCTTCGGGATGATCTTGTCAACGGGCGGTTTTGTAGTGAGTTTTCCTTTTCTTTTTTGCGCAACCTCCAAAGTATAAATTAGGAAAAGAACAAAAAGAAAGGTCATCGGAGTCACTGAGGGGCATTGATATACCCATATAATTATCTAATGAGTTGGCTGGGGAAAAGGTGGGTAAAAAAGGCAATTTCAACGATAACGAAGGATCATCTAATGCGACGGGCAAGTAGGAAAGGGAAAGCCAGGCTGACGATGGATGTTTGATCCACGCTGGTTAGGTAGAACCAAAAACGTCTTCATCGACGATAAATGTACCCATTGAACATGAGAACAGAATTGTATTTGATCATTTCGTCGAAACGCCGGCTATTCCAGCGCTCCATGTTGGATACCTCCCCAATCCTCCGCATGCTGCCCCGTTTTTGCCAAAAAAGTCCTAAGCTCTTGAAAGCTGCATATTCCTGCTTCTCCCAGTGTCGGGAATTGCATGTCGTGTCGTGTAACCCATTACAGTCCTAGCCGTGGCCAGGAGCGACCTCGTGACCGTATCTACAAATCGGCATCGTCCTCATCGGGAAGAGGCATCTGGGCGGCGTTCTCCATCTCCTGTCGGTACTGATCGAGCACAGCCTGGTCGACCTGAACCTCGGGAGGCGCGAGAGCCGGGGCGGCAACAAAGTCGAGCGTCTGGTTACCGACCAGTTTCCGGGCGAGCCAGAGGAAGGGCTTCTCGAAGTTGTAGTTGGACTTGGCGGAGATGTCGTAGTACTGGAGGTTCTTCTTTCGGTGGAAGGTGATGGACTTTGCCTTGACCTTGCGCTCCTTGACGTCGACCTTGTTACCAGTGAGGACGATGGGGATGTTCTCGCAGACACGGACCAAGTCACCTGAGAATGTTAGTCATGGGTAGCTAAAGGAATGCGTCGCAAACGTACGGTGCCAGTTGGGGACGTTCTTGTATGTGATACGCGAGGTAACATCGAACATGATGATACCGCACTGGCCATTGATGTAGTATCCATCACGGAGACCACCGAACTTCTCCTGGCCTGCGGTGTCCCACACGTCGAATTGAATGGGGCCAAGGTTCTGTTTGCTTTGTTAGTATGCCGTATCGGGCGAGTGGATCAAGCGGACAACGTACGGTGGTGAAGGCAAGCGGGTGGACTTCGACACCGAGCGTCGCAATGTACTTCTTCTCGAATTCTCCAGTCAAATGACGCTTGACAAAGGTCGTCTGTGGTTGAGCTGTTAGTCATGTGTTATCGCGTAGATATGCGGCTGCTCTCGACCGCGCAGCCGGCGCAATGGCCCAGCAGCGTATCGCGAGCGCAGCAGAATTTGGCGACTCACCTTTCCGGTACCACCGTCACCGACAAGCACGAGCTTGAAGGTAGGGACGGTGCTTGCAGCGTCGGCCATGATTTACTGTTGTGGCGGGGGGGGGGGGGGGGGGGGGATGTGCTGTGTGTGTGGGAGTGGGAGAAGGGTATTGCGCAGAAGCTGTAGGAGCAAAAGTGTTAGTTGAGGTCGCACGGGCGATTTGAGCAAAAGGCGGTGGTGCAGACTTACGTTTGTGCAAAGAGTGGGGAAGGTTGCGGGCGTTTGTTGCTTCCAGAGGGGCAAGAAGAGGTTTTGTTGTGCACGCTGAAGTGTTGGCCCCGGGCGGTGTGGATCCCTTGGCGCCCTCACCTTCCGCAAAATTGACCTCAGCGGCAGAAGGCAGCGCTTTAGGCAGCCACAGGCTTCCACAACAACAACTGCCTGGCTGCAAACAAACGCTGGACCTTTGCTCGGGCAATCGGCACGTGATGCCGCGAGAAGATTCTTTCGCTCGATTCAAGTTTCATTTGTTCAAATAAAGACAAACGCCGGGTATCATGCAGTGCTTGTTGACCCAAGCCCAGTGCGCCACGCAGCAAGCGCTGTTTTCGCCCATTGCGCCTTATCCACACCAGCCATGCCGTGTTGTCGGTTTGGTAATTCTACGCCTGCTGTTGGTTTGATTGATAATGCTATGCCATACCAGATAAGCTACATGGGCAGCAAGTGGCAGCCCAAAAGCCCTCGCCCGCCCCAGTTCCGCCGTGGTGTGAGCTGCATCTGCACACTCTCTGCTGGTCCGCCCGATGCGTTGGGTCGCAGCGCCTTGACCGTGATGGGGATCTGTAAGTACATGTTAGCTGTCTGCAGACTGCCTTTGCCTTCAACACCTAGTGCACGCTGTGCATGCTGCGAAAGTCTGAGCCTCCGAGCGTCTCAAGTTTGGTCTTTTTGCCGGTTGCGGTAAGATGACGTACCCCCTCGTTCTGTGACACGGCCTCTGCCACGCGCGACAGCCTCTCGTGGTTTGTCCAGTCCACCCATCCAAACTTTGTAATGGTATCGCCCATCTTAAGTCCAGCTGTCTCGGCCGGGCTCCCTGCTACGACGCTGTTGACTTTTGCAAAGGGCGCCTCGAGAGCCGCAGGCGGTGCACCGAGCCCTGCATCCTGTGTTTGGCCGGCCGCGGGGTTGTTGGCTTGCTCTGCCAGGCGCGCGTGGTGCTCGTGGAGGCCCTTTTCGATGCGCGACATGAGGTCCTTGTAGTCGTTCTTCAGCCGTATGATGCGCGCCCGCGTTGTCCGTACTGCGAGGGATCAGCACCAGGCTCCTGTGGTGGGTGGCGCATACTACATACTTTGAGCGACATCAATGTCACTGCGCGGGAAGCCGTCAAAGGTAGTCAGGCCAGTGTTCATGTGGACGCCGTGCTATAGCAAGACATCAGACAACCAGATCGACACACGTGATTCATTGCATTGATGCGTACCGAATCCAGCACCTGGCCTAGGGCCTTGAGCTCTGCCTCTACTCGGTCTTTCTCGGCCATGAGCTCCTGCAGCGACAACTGCTCCTTGGGAATGCCATTGGAGTAGCCCGACGAAGTTGGGCCCGAGGAGACTGTCGGCGCGTGAATATCGTCCATGGCGAAAAATGTCTATCACTTGTCGCTGGCTGCTGCTGGAGCTCGGATTGAATGTGGGGTAGGAAAGCTTGAGCTGCGCGACCAGACGCGCCTTCCAGACACTGGTGCGGGGCAAAACCCGCCAGTCCAGTTTGGCTATCCTTCACTCACGCCATCCATTTCCATAGGGTCATGTCTAGGACCTCATGCCAGTCAGAGCGCGGAGCTTGAAACACCAAACCCATGGTCAGAATGGCCCGATGACTCGCTACATGCAGTCATCACCATCAAACATGGCCCTGTCCGAGTCGCCCCTGCCTTTAGATGCTCCTGCTACCGTCATGGTGACTTCGCGCCTACCAAACTATATATCAAAACAACGCGGCCACCATGCCCTAGTCGCGCCTCAACGACGGCTCACCACAAGCCTTCTTAGTGCAAAGTGTCCATGGCTCCCTCTAGTCTATGCCTCAAATTGCCCCGACTGGACCCTTCTCCCCAAAGACCGCCATTACCTGCCCAAGAGATCGCCGCCTGCTCGCACTGCCCATGGACCCTTCCCTGGACGTGTTTCTTCTTCGTTCATACATGTAGCCAGTAGTCATATCCGTCATGCCTCATCAAGCTCCTTGACGACTCTGCTGTTTTCAAGTCTTTCCTTCAGTCATCGTCGTTGGATGCAGTAGTATTTATCCCATGCCGTTCTAGTCGTCATACACGTCCTCGCCTTGTGTCGAGCCCATCACCGCCATTGACATGGCATATGTATTGTCCCTTCGGCCGCACAGCCCGCTCAAGCGTTCCTTCAGCGACAATCCGTACCTCAATGCCTACTCGCCCCCCAAGGATGCACTGCTCGCACCACTGAGCGACATCACGATTCGCAATGGCTCCGCCTGCTCGTTGTATACGCTCGGCGCAAATCGAACTGGAGACTGGACCCGCAGCACCGAAAACATGGCGCCCCTCACTTCTCAGTCGCTGCTCGACCTCGTCCCTGACAAGACTGGCTTTCCCTTTAGCACCAGGCACCTCGTTGAAGAACCGCGCAAGCGAAACTGCGGCCCCGACCGACCTCCACCGTCCTTTTCTCGGACAGCAGTACCGTCCTACCCATATGCGCGAGACTACCACAAACCACAGCATGCCTCGGCGCCTTCCTACGACAGCGAAAGCCTGCGAGAATCCATGGACGTTGATGAACACCATTTCGATGAGAACCAGTTTTTCAACCTTTACGAAGCCATAGATGTACCCCTGCCAATAGTTCGCTTTTCTGATAACACTAGTGGTGAATCACACGAGGTTGATCAGCTAGTGCCTGTCGCGGTTGCTGTTCCTTCGCAGCCGTTTCGGCGGTGGATGAGTACCTTGAAACGTCGACATGCCCAGCGCTGGAAGGATGATCTGCACAACGTACCTCGTTTGTCATTCGATACTACTGATGGCATCTCTGTTCTCTCTCCTCCAGCCAGACGGACGTCAGTGTCCATGTGCAGGACCTCGGACTCCATGTCGTCTTCGATGGATTACGTAACCGCGATAAAGACCGGTTCCATGACGGTTGGGAGCGCAAGCATTGCACCGCGGTCAGAAATTGGTCTGCATGGCAGGACCCGCGTATGTAACAGAAGCAGCAACTATTCGGATGTCCGCCGATCACTCGAGAGCCATTGTGGTGCGTTGGGGCCTGTACTTGACGAGAACGCATGGCTTCGATCACTACAGCGCCGCAAGGTCGTAGAGGAACTGATTTCCTCAGAAGAGAGCTACATTGCCGACCTCAAAGTTCTCATCAACGACTATTTTATGGTCCTTACGGCTCTTCCGACTCTATCAGGAAACACAAAGTCATCCATACAGCAAAACATCTCACAGATTCTACAACTCCACGAAGACCTGCTTGCGGATCTTCACGAAGCTGTACCTCAGGCCGATTTTACCAAGAGCGCAGATCAAGAGAGTTACCCAGTGACAAAAGCCAAGCACATCCGCTTCCACAGTGCCGATATCGTACCCGGACGCTTTGCCGAACACAGAGCCGCGAGAAGGCTTAGACATTCTCTGGAGATTGGGCGATCGCCAGATCGCAGACCAAACGGCTTGGTGACCGATACCGAGACGGCCGGAGACATTGCCAAGATATTCAACAAGCACATGAAGCGTTTCTTCACTTATGAAGAATATGGTGCCCATTGGACAACAATGTCACAGGATTTGACTACAATGTGCAAGGGGCTGCATGGCTGGCAAGAGTACGAGCGAGGTGTAGAAGCTTTACAAAAGGTAGTAGCTTCAGAGAATAATCGCGAGGCGGGTAGCAGGAAAGCACTCAGCTTTCCCGACCTCTTGATCAAACCCATCCAGAGGGTCTGCAAGTACCCCCTACTTTTTGATGATCTTTGCCGTCACACCCCCGTCTACGATGATCCGGAAGCGCACGCTGAGCTTGAGAAGGCCCTTTTTCGCCTGCAAGAGACTATTCGAGAGGTCAACAAAGCAAAAGACGATCCCCAAACACGACGATTGATTGAGATCACATGGCAGCTACAAGATCGACTAGCATTTCAAGAACAGAAGATATCGAAAGCTCTCGTCTTTCGACTGCTTGGGCATGTGCTTTTATGCGGTGCACTCCACGTGGCATACCAGACACCTGATCGCATTAAGGGTTCGTACTTGGTGTGCGTTCTGTACAAATCTTGTCTTGTACTTGCAACGGCTAGCCGGTTTCATTCGCCTTACACCGTAGTCGCCTCGATTGGGCTCGCCAATGCTAGCATCGAAGAGTCTAACAATGGCCGGGGTATCCAGTGCCACACTGCACCGCACACGTGGAAATTCGTCTTTGAACATGGGCATCGGTTACATGAACTCATCTTCAGTGCCTGCAGCTCGCAGGAAGAGGAGGTGTGGAAGACACAACTACGCGAACGTATTGTTTATGAAACACACGACTTCGTCGAAGGCCAACCTACCATGCAGGACATGTATACATCGATATCTCTAGATCTCAAGTCTCTTGGTCCTGTCTTTGGCCACGCGAACAGTCTAGTGCGACGCATGTCAGTTCATCGAGCGGCGACGCTGGGTTCGAAATCGAACATGAGCCAGGTGATTATCAAAAACACACAGTCACAGAAGTTGCCAGATGTGCCTCCCACATTCTCCCCCAGCATGATTACCCGATCGCAATCGCATCTCTCCACGAATCACGTCCCTACGCTGGCTCCTCGGCGCGCAGAGCGCATTCGCCTTGAGAGTCAGTTGGAAGACGTATGGACAAAGGACCTCCTGCCATTTCCCGGCATGTCAAACCGCAGAATGGAGAATCAAATCAGAGCCTCGGCAAATTCAGTGATGCGGAAGCTGAGCATGGCAAGCATCGCCAGCAACTTTTCTCGTCGGTCCCCTAGCCTTTCGAACACGAGTCACTCACGATCAGAAGATTCTTCTGGTAGCCGCGTTCACAAGGTGTCTCAGAGAAACCTACGAGCTCAATCGGCGACCGACCGAAGGCCAGCACCAGCAGTCGTGGACTTTCACACCGCACCAGCCGCATTTTTGCCAACCGACTTCGAGGTAGAGGACCCAAGACCCTCAAGCAGACGCCGACGTCTCGCCAACCGTGCGATAGGTTCAGAACATTCAAACGATAAACCTGCACCCAAGCCGAAGAAGACTCGTCGTCTTTCTACACATATCATCAACCTCCCACGATCTGAGTCGAGTAATCGAGTAGCAAAGAGGAGTATCTCCCATGGATCAACAGCATCTGCTTTGCACGCGCCAACTCCCTGTGTGGGTGTAAGAAGGAGTGCGGAGAACAGGAGGGTGAAGCGGGAAGAAAAGAAGGACCGCGAGCCGAGGCCTGAGATGACACCAATTACACCCTCGAAAAAGTTCTTTAAGAGCAAAAGCCGGATTTTTAATTTCTTTAGATGAACGCCATCGACTGACGTCAATTGCTGTCTTCGTTCACGGTACTTCTGGATGGTTGTTAGATGGATGCAAAGGAAGGTTCCATGTTATGAAGGTTATCACGACGTCACGAAGCTATCCTTGTGGTAATAGCAAGTATGAGACATGAATACTACGACCGAAACGACGGTGGCGATGCACAACATCATGGCGGATCAGCATTAATGCAAGGCACACCCGCAGCCTCGTTTGGGGGTTGGGGCTTGCAATCCATATGACGTCATCGGCTGGGGTTGGGCACGCGATCGCATGATGGAGGGGCACATTGCAAAAGACACGTATATTTGGATAGTAGCAATCAAATCATGGTTAGAGCGGCAATATGCCATGCAACGTGGCATTATTCTGGAATTGTAGGATCTGTGATCACAGGGCCTCGGCTTGCAACATGAGTGTTGTTGTTGTTGCTCCCGCACTTGTTCAAGCAAAACAGCAAAGTGAACACGATAGTCAAGACAGGCGCTCATGGAGCTAGAGATTAATGTTTCAGCATGAGCCTCCGTGCAGTCCGATCAGGCACAGTAAGAGGGAGGGCTTGCGAACCTTCTGCGTGTGTGTGCTTTACCTTGCTCCTAGTCCGAGCTTGGCTATGACGTAGGTCCGGTCAAAGCTCACGAGCTGTCGTGGAAAGCTAAATAGCCCCTCCAAAGCTTCCCCTCTATCGACACATCATCACCAAACCCTTTACCAGTCTCTCACGCTCCAAACACGAGATTCAGCTCCATCAACACCAAACACTACAACCTTTTTGCTTAACAAACGAAACAATACACCAATCCGCAACAATGGCCCGTGGAAACGTAGCTCAGACCCAGGTCTTCTACAAGGGTAGCTCAGGCGACCAATTCACCGTCTTCATCGAGAGCGAGGAGATGCTCAAGAAGTGGAGGGAGGACAGCAGCATTCCCATGACTGAGGTTGTCGCTGGATGGAAGATTCTGGTGCCTGAGTAAGTGGTTGTTCCTATGACGCCAGCCTGAGGTGTTTGGCAAAACAACAAGAACATGACAACTAACGATTATCTTCTATTGCAGGCACGGCAAGCAGGGTATCCTCAACACCGCGAGCAAGAGCCAAATGGAGAACGAGTTCGGCACCAGCAACGAGGACGACGTTGTCAAGAAGATCCTCAAGGAGGGATCTGTCCAGTCGAGCGAGGTTCGTACACACTGCAACCCTAGCTTTCCCCATCCACTGCCATCATACCTCATGCTTTACCGCAGCTGCTAACATGCATCTCCACAGAACTCTGAACGCATCGGCATCACCAACGAGTCCCAGGGCGGACGTCAAGCCCACTAAGCAGTGGTCTCTTCTTGTACAGAAACGACTCGACTTATTACAACTTCGACATGATATCACGATTTAGGGAAGATAGCAGGGGCGATTTGCTAGCCTGAAAGATTGGCTGGCGTCGCAGGGGCGTGTTCAGCTGGAAAGCTAGATTACGACGATGCCCCCAGATTTGATAGGCATTTACAAATGAAATGAATCTGTCTATCTGATGTTTGAGCAAATGTGGTGAATCTTTCTACTTGAGTCTTGAGAAATGCAGTGAATTTGGAAGCACAAAAATAGTGAGGCTGACGCATGCGTATACATTTGCCTTGGTGTCGTATACGCGGCCAAGATACCTGCGTATCCCATGTTTTACTCACCGCAGATCTTATCTTTCTACTCTTTCCTTCACTTGCATAGGCTGATCGCATAAACTGCAGATGCCTTGCACATCCCCCGCTACAAAGCTGGGTGCCTAGCCCGCCACTCCCACCAACGCGGGGAATAAAAACTGGTCCCCACATGTATGTAAGACTCAACGCAACGCACACCATCACATCCTCTGCCACTTCACTCCGAACCAAACACCGCTCCAACCATCTTTCGATCTCTGTGTATTCGCCACCGCTAGCCAGGCAGCCAGCCCATTCAGCGAACTAGTCCACCCTTGACCGTCCTTTGTATAGCTGGTCGCCGATAGTAGTAGAGAAGAGGCCGCACACGGCCAGCCAGTCGCACTCGCATAGAGTAAGGCGTTGTGTGCGGCCTGTGTCAAGGCTTTGCCTCTACTGCCTGGTTCTCTCACAAGATAGGCGGTGATGGGTAGGTTCGTTGGTGGTATGGCTTACGCGAGAAGCTGGAGAGTGCATTAGCGAGGCGGGGGTGATTGGTAGGATGTGAGAGGGTGTATGCATGGTGATGGGGTTGCTGCCTGGAGGGATGCTGGATGCGGATATGTTGGGTTGCGGCTGTGGAAAAGTGGTGAAGGCGATGATGATGTGAGGAGTATGAGGGGGTATATAAGGGTGTGTTTCCTGTCATTTTGAGTTTTGTGTTGGCAGAGATTTCAATATCTTGCATCCTACCTTCGTTGAAGAAAGGGTTGTTCATCCTTCGTGTCTGATAGTCATATCCTCCACCTCATTCACCCATCTGCATCCACCCAAAATGCCGGCAGCACGCACCCTCCTCTCCTCCACGACCAGCAAAAGAAATTACGTCGATCAAACGTTCGACGAACACTGCAGCGGCGACCGCGTAGAAACCCGCAACAAGGTCCTCACCTCACTCCGCAGCACCTACCCCGACTTCCACATCACGGAAGTCGACGAGGCAAAATGCTCTTTGTTCGAATTTGCAGCTGCGGATAAGGCGACGCTGGCGCTGGATGCCGAGGATGAAAAGTTCAAGGCGACGAGGAAGTGGGTTCCTGTTGGTGAGGGCGTGGAGAAGAAGATGCATCCTGGAGACTTGATTGATCATTATCGGTTTGCGCGATTTCAGTATATCTGGCAGGATCACGAGTTTATTGTTTACTACGTGACCTGGGCCGATATGCTCAAGTCAATGGATAAAGTGTTTTACATCCTGTACCCGCGCAGCTCTGGCAGTGTTGCAAACGGCCACTGTCCCGAGACCGATGCTTTGATCCTGGCAGCCGGGAAATGGACGTCGCAGCTACACTCCGAGATTTTCGTTTTCGACGACGGATGTTGGGACAAGAGTAAAGAACTTTGGAAAGCGGTGTCGGGATCTTCCTGGGCCGATGTCATTCTCAACCCCACCACCAAGCAGTCTCTCATCGAAGACGTGATGGGCTTCTTCGACAACAGGGAGTTGTATGCCTCGTACGGTGTGCCCTGGAAACGTGGCATCATCCTACACGGGGTGCCTGGTAACGGCAAAACGGTCAGTATCAAAGCGCTGATGAACGCGCTATATGCGAGGGAAGACGCCATTCCCAGTTTATACATCAAGAGTCTGAGCACACAGTGTAATACGGAGCAATATGCCATTTCCGAAATCTTCAAATTGGCACGCAGCCAAGCACCGTGTCTGCTCATATTCGAGGATCTGGATTCCCTGGTCAAGGATGAGACCCGGTCGTACTTTCTCAACGAGGTTGATGGCTTGGAGTCCAACGACGGTATCTTGATGATTGGCTCCACAAATCACCTGAACAGGTTGGATCCTGCGATTGCCAAGAGGCCAAGCCGGTTCGATAGGAAGTATCATTTCAAGATTCCGGAGTTGGAGGAGAGGAAGGCGTATGCCAAGTATTGGAGAAGCAAACTGGTAGGGAGAGAGGTCGAATTTCCCGAGGATGTTGTGGATGTTGTGGCAGAGATGACTGAGGGATTCAGTTTCGCCTATCTGAAGGAGTTGTTTGTTATGGCGCTTTTGGGGTTGGTGAGGGGGGCTACGGGCGAGGACGAGGATGTGAATGCCGAACAAGCTGCAGACGAGGATAAAGAGAAGGACAACGAAGAAGAGAAACCAGAAGAGAAGAAAGAAGAAGAGAAGGAGGAAGAGCTTTGCACATGCACCGCGAAATGCGCTACGTGCCACAAGTCCCTCCCCCCGACCACTTCATCCTCAGAGACAAAGAAGAAGACTGATGAGGCTGTCGAAGCAGACGAGGAAGCAGCGCTCAACAACATGGTGCTGCCGACCGTGGAAATTCCGGCACACCTCAAGGACAATGTACTGCTCAAGGTGATCAGGCACCAGATTCGTATCTTGCATGCGGAGATGGACAACACCAAGGAGGAAAACTGGCCAGGTGAGAAGACAAGTGTCAAGGGCGGTAATTCCAATGCGGAATTTGCGCAAGCGATAGCGAGGGCAAGGAGGAGGAGAGCAAGGATGTGTTAGGTTCGTGAGGATGATTTGAGTCAAGTATTTCCTAGATGTTAGTCGGCTTGCTCTTTCTAGAATGATAGATGCTATCCCTGAGCAAACAAAGCACAGCTGTTCCGAAATTGTATGTGTACGTTGTAGATTACGTCTCCAAGCGACAGCTATAGTATAACATATCGTTGCCAAGTGAATACGGTGGGAGATGGTGTATCTGGCCACCTTGGCATAGCGTGCAATCTAGATAGGAATTTAGAGGCGATATGGCCGGATACTCGGCTAGACTTCGCAGTCACTCAGTGTAGATGTAGATCCCAACGACTGGGATCTAATCATAGTAGAATGTAAGACGCTAAAGGGCCGATAACTTAGATGGAAAGATGCCGACTATCTGCGTGTAGCTTAGCTGTTGGCAAAGCTTCGGTGTGCTTGGACGCGGTGACATGCTGGTAACACGTGCGTGAGGCTGCTGTTCAAATGTTGACCGTTGCCGGAAAAGAGTCGCGAAATTCTGGGATCAGGTGGAATTGATTCGCAGTCTACAATATATGTATCACGTCACTTCCAAGATGACAACTCGGGGTAAGTCATGTCCGGTAGATCAGCTAGTGTGGAGCGTCGGAAGATTACCGAGGCGAAGACGAGCACCGCATGTAGCGTATGCGAGGCGAATAAGAAGAAACAAAAACAGTTAGCATGGTAAATCAAAAAGTGCATAAATGTGAAAAGTCCTGACGCAGGGCAAGACGCCGTCCCACGACAGAGGCAACAGTGCACGAGGCTGAGTACCTAAGTCGGTAATTAGTAGCTTCGGCGGTGCGGGGCTGGAAATAGAAACTTCTCTTCAGTCGCCCGCTCCGTGCCACCAACAACGTCATTCGTATTCTCCCCAATTGCGCCGCGATACGGAGCGAAGCGGTCACTGCTGCTGGCGATCAACGGGACGTGCCCCTGGTCGCTTCCTTCGCTGGCAGGTGAAATGAGGGGGAAAAAAGTAATGGCGCCGCGGAGCTGAGTAAGGACAGGAGGTGTCAGCTACCGGTCCCAACGACGCAACTGGAGTTGCTTTGGAGCAAGACAGGGCGGGCGGTGCCATCCCGTGCGACTTGTACGCCAGAGAATAATATAAGAGACGGATAATGCCATGGTTCACAACTACGCCTGCCAGTCGCAGCGGGCTGCGCCGAGAAAGCCGGTTTTGCGCTCCAGGCATGATGCTTTCTGCTTTTCTGGAGGTGCCGATCGCTCGTATTGCGATATGCTTGTCTACTCACTTGGTCAGTCGTCGGTGTGTGTGAGATTGCATTGAAACTCAGGTTCCAGTAGCAGTGTCAAAGTGGTCTGTTTGCATTCTCGACCGCATTGCAAAGCAGCGCGCTCGTTTCAAGGGGAACTTGGAGCAATGGATCGGCTTGGTTGGTACGACGTTTGATGGCAACTTCAGAAGGATACGCGGACCCACATTTCCGGTTGTGGCAAGTGCAAGGGGACAGTATATCCGATGACCTCACCGTGACTGCCAGCCGTTCGGTCGCTAAAATGGGCGGACGGTAATGCAACCGAGACAAAGTGCATTTTTCATTGGTGCGGTAGCTCAACGTTTGCTCGCCTTGGCCGCCATTTGCCTGTATATCCATGAGAGTCAGGGCGATCGCCGTCGCGCAAACTCGTGTGTGATCATCTTGCAGTGCGCTCTCTCCCGTCTCTCATCGCGTCTCCATCTTTGCTACTATCACTGTCACCTGGTCTCTCATGCTTGGGGATTTACAATTACTTTCCACCACCATTCGCTCTCACTTCGGATCAACTCAGCGCGGTTAATAACCGCTTCCCCACGAATTGCGACTCTGAGCTAGTATCCATTGATGTGTTTGCTGTTCTTTTGAGCAAGGGACCCTCAACACAGGACAGGATGCCCACTACATTCGTGTGGGTGCGCGCCGCTGCCCTGGCTGCTCTTGCGACACAGGCTGCTGCTCAGCAATGCTGTATGTTATGTCTTATCTTCGCGAATGAGCCTCAACTGATCGACGACAGACTATCCCAATGGCGAAAAGGCTCCAGATACAGAGAAGCCCTGCTCGTCAGGAAAAGGTGCTACGGCTTGCTGTCCAGACAAGTGGGAATGTCTCGACAACGGCCTATGTCACTATCCTGCCGACAACCTCTTTGGTAGATATAGTTGCACCGACAAGAATTGGAAGGGTGATGGCTGTGCCTCCAACATGTGTACCTATGGTAAGAATGTCGCTCTATCAATCCAAGCATTGCTAAACGATAGCAGATATGAAAGCTGGCGGCGGAGAGTCGATAACACAGTGCTCAAATCATGACGACCAATGGTGCTGCAACGCAGACGCTCAACACGTAAACTGCTGCCAGGAATCGCCCTCACCACGACCCTTCTTCGCGCTCAAAGACGGCTCGGCATATGCGACCATTGGTGGCCAGATTGCAATGAATGCGCCGGACCTAGCCGACATTACTGGCCTAGCATCAGGCTCAGGTGGTGGAAGCTCAGCACCACGGACATCGGCACCAGCATCGTCGAATAAACCCTCTTCTGCTGCCGCAAACCCCCCTTCCTCTGCCGGTTCTGCCAAGGAAAACTCGGTTTCGACAACGGCCACACCATTCGTGTCCGTCTCTGCCAGTGTCTCTTCAGGCTCGGCCGGAGTAGTCACTGTCCCAATTACTTTCTATGTTACGCCAACGTCGACTGCTACCGCTGCTGGATCCAACGCCAGCTCAAGTGAATCAAATTCGAACCTCGGTGTCATCATTGGCTGCGCAGTGGGCATTCCCCTTGCGCTCGCCTTGTTGGGCATCATCTTCTGGATGCTGCGCAAGCGCCATCAACAAAAGGCCAATCCCTACAACGATGTAGCCGACGCTGATGGCGATAATGGAGGCTTGATCGGCGGCGCAGCAGGCAAACTCAGCAAAAAGGAGACATTCCGTAACTCGGCGCCTGGAACTGCCGAAATTGATGGTAATCCCGTAGGTGCTGGACGGCCCATTTCCACAGTCAAAGGCCACGCAGAACTTGCATCCGGAAACGGCTTCCAACCAGGACAAGGTACACCGTACGGACCAGATGCAGTTGGTATCGGCGGAGGAAATGGAACTGGCCACCCGGACCGCAACACTTGGGGCAGCGTACCGCCTCAGTATTCGCCAGCGCATAACCAGACCACCTTCAACCAGTACGAAGGGGCGTCGGAGCTGGACGGCACAAGCGTTATGCCGGCCATCAGAGAGACACCAGAAGCCCCACAGCAGTATGTCGCATATAGGCCACCACAGCCCACAGCTGAGATGTCGACGGTTACAACACCACCCGAGGATCTGGAGAAACAGGTACAGCGGTAGACCGTCTTTACTGTGGGCATTTTCGGAGTACATAATACCGGCATATGTAACAGCCGTCTTCAGGCTTTTCTTTTGAGATGTATGACATATTTTACGCGGACATGTACATATAATGACGGGGCGTTTTGCCTTCGAACAGGAGCGGTTATACCAATTTCATCTGTTCAATTTATCCGATTTTTTCTTACTGATTTTATGACGGTATACTGAAGGTGTGCATATAGAAATGACATGGGGGAGCTGAGGGCGGAGAAGGGCGGTGGCGGTGAGGGGGGAAGGGCGGCGAGTCATGCGCACTCGGCATGTCAGCCCTGTCGCCCTCAAACGCAGAGCGACGGTGGTCATTGAAGTCGAGATAACGGCATCGTATCCGCCATTGTTCGCTCTTTCGCACACATTCACAACCTTGCGCTCTGCAGTACGCTTCATCACAACGTTCAGTATCACTCAAGCACCATGCAGCACCTCCCCGACGAGCTCATTCTCCACATCATCTCATGTAGGTACCCCGAACCCTGTGATGACATGCGACCCCACCCCTAACCAGACCTCCAGACCTCGAGCCCTCTGAACTCGTCAACCTCCAACACGTATCGCGCCGCCTTCTGGAGATATCTCGCGACAACAACCTCTGGAAGGCCCTATGCTTTTCTCATTCGGCTGCCGAGCGCCGTCGTCGCCGTCTCGAATTGTCGACCGATATCGACCCGCGACTCGCTGAGTTGATACGCGCCGCTGATACCCTCTCGAATACATTTGATACCTCAGTCCACAATGCGGACGCGCCGAGTGCAGAGGCGCAGCAGGAACGCAACCGCGAGAAGAGGAGGCAGGCTCTGCTTGCGAACTGGGACCCGAGCTATCCTGACGAAAAGGTCAACTGGTACCAGGACTTCATACAGCGACATGCGGAACAGCAGATTAGTTGGTTCCAAGACGTAGGAAGCGATGAGAAAGATGAGCGTAATATTAGACGCGAGGCCACTGGTGCGGGCATACTCTTCGATAGCGACGGTCTCGCAGACAAGCTCGTTGCGCCACTCGACGACGGAAGTATCAGCATCTGGGACGCTGCAGCAAGCAGCGAGCAACAAGGAAAACTGGTGGCGAAGAGCAATGTGGGACTTTTGCCAGGGAAAGGCTCGGATCTGGATTACAATACGCGACTCACGCAGAGCCAAGCCATCATGACGGAAACGGGCGCAGTGGAGTGTGTGAGTGTCGACAGCAAGTTGAAAAAGGGCTTCTTCGCTGTGCAAAACGTATTGAACGAGGTGGATCTGAATACACTCCAAGTCGTTTCAAGAACGCCATATCCATTCCCCATCACCGCTCTCTCGGAAGCACACCATAGAACGCCATTGACAGTCGGCACCAACTGGACTCTCCACTTGCACGACACGCGCAAACCTCCCCAGCCTCCCGCCTCTGTACGTTGCGAACTCATCGGCGGCGCGACTGACACCTCCTTTGCACGCCTCGAAACTGGCGACTTTGGCGGCCACGTCTCGCTCTCACAGCCCGGCGCGCTATCCATCTTCCACCTACCCACAGCCCGCGAATGGGATGGCAACGGCGATATCTGGGTCGGCGGCCGCTTCACAAGCATGCTAAACTTCGACCGTCGCGCCTTTCCCCGCCTCCGCGGCACCGTACACTCCGGCGCTCGGCTGTCATGTATCACAGCTATACCGTACCCCTTTGTACCGCATGACCTCCGTCTAGGCCGGCCTTACGCACCACCCAGTCTCCTTCGCGAAGTCAAATCTACGCCAGGCTACACGTTAATCACAGCCGGCGAATACAAAGGCAAAGGTTCACTCGAGTTGTACGGTCTATCAACCGATCCCGCTCACTCCATCAATTCGAGTGATAGCCGCACGACGCGGAACCAAAAGGCGTACTATCAGAATCGCCAAACGGCTAGTAGTTCGAAACTACTGTCTGTGGCGCCACATGGTACGCGTCTTGTTTTTGCAGATGGTGATGGAAATTTGAAGTGGGTGGAGCGTGATGGTTCTACACCAGTTCGTCAGTTCAACATCAATGACTTGCAGCGCGGTGGCGATGGTAACACTCACGCTGCCACTACCTCTACCCATCAAGCCGGTCTCGTTAATGCAGAGTCTGATACTGAAGCGGGATGGGGCGGCGATATCGTACAGAAGATTTTACCAACCGTGACGTCGTCGCTGGTGACACCGTTTGTACCTTCCGACCATACTGTGGGAGGTAACCTGGTCCTGTGGACTGGAGACGGTAAACTGGGTATGCTTGGATTTGGGCGCGAGCCGCCGTTTGGTGGCAAGGATGTGTTTGAGGATGCGTTGGAGGAGCAGGTTGGAGATGCGGCCGGGGAGAGGGTTCGGGAGAGGGAGTATACGGCAGGGATGAGAGGGCATTGGAACAGCAGCTAGGGAGTTGCGGTGGTTGAGGGGGTATGG